AATGGGCTTCACACATTGTACCCATGTCGGGAATCGAATCCGGGTCTTCTGCGTGACGAGCGAACGCTTTAACCACTAGGCTACCCCACCGCCCCTAAATTATCCACAAAGAGCACATTCTTATCACTACAAAGAGTATCGATCTTAGTCTTTCAGCTCCTCTTCCTGGCAAACCAACAGAACCATGTTGACTAAAACTATTCAGAATATTGAATCATCTATGATTTTGGAGATCCACAATATACATCTGTTTCATTATGACTTTTTGGAACCACAACAAAGACATGAGCAACCCCAAAAAAATCTTTTACAGGAGATTGAAGATGGAAAGCTTTGCAATCCCAGATTCTCTCAATGATGTAAACTGTTTCTTTTCAAACATCCTGGAGACAAGAGATTTTAACACCAATAATCAGGAGCGTACATTTCAAAAGCAGCAGAGCCCGATGTTAGTCTGGAGTAGTCATGACAACAACAACTAACAATCACATGCTCATGTTGGAAGAGTGGTCAACAGATCATCGCACACATATTCATGCAGCTACAGAGACCCACCCCAAATCTACCACACTACCGTATTTGACATAATAAGCGCGCAGGGCGCTCTAAAATTTAGAAATAAGGGGTTCTTATTAGAATATTATTTTGGTGGAAAAAAACAGGTGAAAGATCTGTGGTTTATACTGACATCTGAAATGTTTATATAAGAAAATTATATTTTTCCAGAATTTAATTGCCCATAATTAAGGGTGCATAAAAACACGAGTGCGTATTATACACGAATAAATAGGTCTTGTGTACATTGCTCAATCGGAAGGGGTGCTAATTGGGATTGTTCACTCACCAATATATTAGAAAATATCGTTTATTAGTGCGGGGCGCTTATTATATGAAGTATAGTATTTCATCATTAAATACATTGCTTGTCAGGTTTGGTTGTTTTGCATTCAGTTTTTTTTTTCTTCTTGTTTCTTGGGTGTTATTGCAGATTTTATACCCAAACATTTAGGTCAGTAGGTCGAATTGACAGTGACCACAAATTAATTGTTTTTTTACACATTTTTCATATTTTGATTCTTTGGAGTCGACAGATTCGTAGGTCAATTGTTATTTTTGAAATAATAATTTTTCTAATTATTTTTCATTGTTTTTTTAATTCTATTTCTATTGACAGTGACCATAAATGAATTGTTTTTTTAACACGTTTTTCATATTTTGATTCTTTGGAGTCGGCGGATTCGTAATTCAATTATTCAATTATTATTTTTTAAACCTGGTCTATAGAGGCAAATAACTTGAATGTGTGTATAAATACAATACTTATCTCTCAGTCACATGTGAAGATTGAGATGGAAGACAATGGAGTCTTGTCATCTAATCCTTATGCAAACAATTCAAGATTTAGGGGGATCCCCAGCTGAGGTTTTAAAGACCCCTGAGCATCTTCAAAACGCTAACACATTGTGCTACCTTTACTTCATGATATTGTTTTTCAACGACAACAGAATTCATTGCTCGTACAATTCTAAGACAATTATACTGTAGGTTGGAATGACAGAGAAAGGTTATTAACGCTGCAGTCAACAATATATCAGCTATATAAGCGGCCTGGAAAAGATTGAATCTTGACTATGCAAACATGTGACTGAAGACACGAGCAACGACAAACACCATATGGGCACAATGACATGCCACCAATGAGTGAGTGAGTATGGTTTTACGCCGCATTTAGCAATATTCCAGTTCTGGGGGACACCAGAAATGGGCTTCATACATTGTACGCATGTAGGGAATCGAACTCAGGTCTTCGGCGTGACGTATGCCACCAATGAAGTCCCAGAGAGCAGCATAGTTTGCTGGGGACGTTTCCCATGCAGAATCTCCATTGGGGCTCTTTTCACTATTGCAATAGTATAAAGCTAACATTAAGGCTTGGTAATTATACTGATCAATGTAATAGGAATGAATAAAGTATTGCTGACAATGTCAAAATCAGCTATTTTCCTCCCTGGTGTACTCAAACCAATCTCATTAATATCAGATCTTAGTTCTTGCTACCGCTAAACAAAGATCTGAGGACATCCCATTACGGGTCACGTCAGAACGACCTTTCATCCGACCAATCAAAGCGTCGCTTACCACCTCATGAAAGTGTCAGTCTGAATGTATTTTCTAACCATTCTGAACGACAGTTATGGCCCGTACGACTGTTTCCGTTTTCTCTCGCATCCGTGGGATAAATAATTGAACGGAGGAGGCGTTGCACAGTATGTGGGAAGCACTGGTATACAATCTCAAACATATGTTAGACATTCCGCAATGTTCGTTTTCAGTTTTCAAAATTTTAATCGAGAACTGTGTCAAGATTTTCAAGCGTAGTCTGTGATGGAAGTCACCAGGTTGAAACGAGTGCCGTAAAGCTCGAGAAAGCTGCCTTCTGATCGGCTGATGTTGACTTCTTGTTGGTCGTTTCAGTGGTCAGTCAAAGTTCGCTCAAGGCCAATCTGACGTGACCCATAATGGGATGTCCTCAGATCTTTGTTTAGCGGCAGCGAGAACTTAGATCTGATTTTAATGAGATGGTACTCAACCCAAAGGAGAGGTACTCTAATCTGAAGTTATCATAATCGTTGCTAATTATGTTTACTTATGCATATATTATGATCAAATTACAACTTTTTGCGACTACTGAAACCATCAATTGTTATGCATATTCTGGGCAATACCACCGTAACTGAATGACTGACGCAGATTGGAGACTTTTACAACTTTGATGAAACCCACAGGTATTTGCCAACAAACTAAGGATCATGTCTTGGGCAAACCTGGGACTCAAACCCATGACCAGACAAGTGAATGGTAGTGCCTTAGAACACTGAGCCACCAAATACCCTGAGAAAGGGAACAAAACAGTGTAAAACTGCAACATCATACCAGAAATTTGTCTAATATTCTGCCATACTGAAATGACAAGTCAAAAGAAAAACAGCGAGTCCCCACAGGCTCACCACCTTCAAATGTACCAGTCCTCACGTGCTTCACTGGTTAAAGAACGGAACCCCCAGAATCAATAAACAGTAACATAACCTGTTATCACTACTAAAAATAATCACATAAAACCTCTCCAAACTTTTTTACTTCTTTCTTCTAAACATACATTTTTCAGAAAAAGTTTAAAAACCTTTGCATGATCCAGGTGATCATGGAAACAACGATAAAAAAAGCTACTCTTGAAAACAAATACAACCTTTTCGACTCAATACCGAGCCATTAATTTAATCCACAACATGCACGATGTAAACAAACTCAAGCTGTTTCTAGAATTTTGGAGATACAGTAACGAAAGCATTAAAAATTAAACATCTACAAACCCAATTCAAACTAAAAAAAACCTTATCAACAACAAAATTAATCTTTCATTTCAGGTAAAATGTCTTCAACACCATATATCCTCATGAAAGATGATCATCAACGTCCTACAATACACCCATATTCCACTACACAACAACAGCTGATCTTTCCTTACTAGATCAGATTCTAAAAACTGCCCCACCTATCCATATCATCTCCGTAGAGACAAAACTGTGAAACAGCCAACACTGAAATACAACAGATAAATACCAGCACATCCATTCCACAATGTGAGTACAAGAACTTAAATAGTTAAAGCAAAGGGCACAAAATGAGGCTAGCAGAACCAAAACCAGTGAAGTAAGAAAATGAAATTGAAATCCCATGCAAACCATTACTGAACAGTCATGCAGATGAGCCTAGGTTGGTACACATCCTTGCACAGGGGGAGGGCGGACTAAACATACATAGCCAGCGGTAGAAATAACGCAGGTCCTTCCACGACCTTATGCATGGAAAATAGCCTATATAATCCTGCTGACGATCAGACTGGAACAATTTCAGTGATAGTTCACAGGGATAGAACAAAATTACTGAAATGCTTTGCAGGGAACATGTCTTGTAACAAATCAGCTAAAGTCACCGCGTACATGGCAGCCGAAACATTTCTAACATCTTCAACATAAAATAGTGAGTGAGTGAGTTGGGTTTAACGCCGCTTTTAACAGTATTACAGTTATATCATGGTGTGTCAGCTTAATGTGGGAGGAAAGCCCGAAGTGATGCAAGTCTCAGACGTTTACCACTTCGGTGAAACCCACGAGCACGGGTATGGTGCTGACAAACCTAGAAACATAATCGGGGCGAACCAAGATACGAACCCACAATCATAGGTTTCTGGCGTGCCCAAGGGATGCAACTCTGCACAGCGAATCGCGGCGCCTTAGACGACTGGGCCACCCCACATAAAATAGAAGGAACTTTATTCCTAGACATTATCCTGCGAATAAAACCAATCCTCCGCCATATCATTTCTGCTGTACATCTATAGAACTCAAAACGAATTTAGAGAACACCCGATTCTTTCATATTACTATAGTTAATCTATCATGCGATGGCAGATTATCTATAGTAATGTTGAAAAATCTGGAGTTCTTCAACTCAAAGAATATCTAGTTGAAGGCAGCTTACCTTCTTAAGGTATCAATTTGGAAGAAGACCTATTTGATCATTATTACCAGTAGACTCAAAATTACGTTCTATCCCTGGGAATTTTCCTGCAAAATTTGTTTCAACATTTCTATTCAAGATGGACATTACGTCAACAATTTACTACAAATACATTTTCCAATGCAAACTCAACCAATTTAGTCAAGCAAATTCTTTCCCTGAGATGACAACAGTTTTAAAAAAGAAAGAAAAAAAGAGAGAGAAAAAAAAAAGCTGGAAATTTCAACATGTACATTTTACAAACGGTTACTATTTGGTTTGTTTCTAACGCTGTCGAGGGTGGCTTTTTATTAATAAAGCAACAGATTGACCACATACAAAAACCATATACCTATTTCAGTATGGGTTTGGGATTACTCCGATCCCTGGGGGAGAGAAAAAGAAAAAGGACAAGTTAAGGTTATTTTGAAGTTACATACCAAATAACTACATGATAAGCTGGAAGAGGAAACAAGTACCTTAAAGGCATACACCAATATTGCACACAGAAACTGCTGCTCTTTTGAAACATGCGTCAAATATACAGTTTGTAATCAGCTGACTCAAAAAATTTCCACCAAAAGTACTTGAATTTGAATTTTCTTCATAATAAGAATGTTGAAGCTGTAAATGATACCTTTCTGATAAGAACATGAATATTTTGTTAATTTTGCATGCATTTTATTTTCCAAACAAAAATAGATAATGCTGAACTAACTGAACACGCATTGCAGTTATAGGATAAGGTAACCAAAATAAATAACAATCTGAACCCAGACTCATCTTGGTAATACAATGGGATTTCTACGAATTGAAAATCTGGGACAGTTGATGGGGATGACATACAATTACACATATAAGGCCCATGAATATGAACTTTTTAAAATTTATAATTCATATTATTCACTAGTGTTGAAAATCACAAAGCAAATTTTTGCATTAGTATGAGGCAGTGAGGCAGTCTAGAGAACAGTCTGTGCCTTTTACCCATGAACCCTAAGCCTGCAGTGTCTATTACATTTGAGATGTGCAGGATAATTTGCATTGTGGAGAACATATTACGTACATATAAAACATATTACATATGAAATTTGAATTTGTAGAATACAAAAAGGCAATTCTCAGTGATGAATCCTAACTATATGGAGTTAGTAATAAGATACATGGATGAAAGTCTATATTACAATTAGAAGCAACATTTCGCTGTAGGTTCTAACACCTTTATCAAGCAGCCATGTTAGAATCTAAACCAAATCATCGCTCCAAATTTATATGAAGAATTTGTTCATCCACATATCCTATCCAGCTTCTAAATGTCTCTCAAAGAAGTTTTGAAGAAGCTTAAAAGGCTTAGGCACAGACTGCAGATATGAAATAAACAATTGCCCATTGAAAGTAATGCGAACAAGCATTGCCGAGACACCCAAAGAACCCTGAGGTGGGAAAGTATAATTTACTGCATAATATGCATTCTTAATTAGCTTGAGTGGATGCAAGTACTTCCTCGCCATGATGGACTCAGAACATATAGAAGACACCAATAAACAGTTTTAGTAATCTTGAGTCAAAATATTCAACTGAAAATGAAAACCTATAACGCAAACAAATGTTTCAAAAAAAAAGATCCCACAAAAAAATCAGAATGTTTTATCTACTTCTCACCATAAGCTAAATATTCCTTATTTTCTTCCACTTTTTTTCCCAGTGCGCTGAGATGCAAATTTCAAAAGGTCAACGTAGAGTTTCAATAACAAGGTTATACTAATGCACATAGATCAGACAAACACAAAACAGTATCAAGTCTATTTAGAGGAATGCAAATACTCCTGCCGGTACGCTTTTCATTCAAAAATGTTTAATCATCTCACCTGTGGGTTGAAATCTGGGTCGTCATCTTCATTGTAATCGCCTTCCTCGTCATGCTGAGGACAGAAATAGGCATTAGTGCGGCAGTGCTACACAGACAGGCACACAAGACAGCAAACCACGAGACACAAGGGCACTCCCAGCAGGGTTACACCCTCTACAAAGCAACACCTCCATCAGGAGCAGTGAGGGCAACTCTTGGGGTCGACAGCAGAACCTGATTGACTGGCATCCCTGTTCAAGACCTATGGATGAGTATCAGATGTGAGGTACTGTGGACACCAGCACTTAGTCTACAGCTCAATTTCAGAATAGTGGCTTATGTAACACTGATAGAATCTTAGAGAAAGCAAGTTGTCCTTATAGACTTTCAAACAGATAAGTATTTATATCGTGCCCTGTCAAGAGACTCAGCATGCTCGGTGGCTATCACAAAAATTGAGATGATACATGATGCAAAACTCTTGATAATTAACATTGTCATCAACTGACTGAATTGTCATTATAATGATTTTGACAGCAGTTCAATGACTAAGACAAATCTATGATGTTATAACAATAGTCTTATTGGAGCCAAAGCAATATTTGGGTAGGTACTTGTTACAAATTAGAATAAGGATAATGTTCATTTTAACCCTTTATACGTCTACTTATGTGTCCAATAATAACCAAAATGATGTTCATCTCAAAAAGTCTTTCTTCACCAGGTAAGGTCCATCGGTGGAAATGTTCTAAGATGAAATGGTTAAATGCACATATACCCAAACAATGGTAACATAACAGTTAAGGATGACAGTCAGCAAGATTCTACTGTATAACCCTCTTCAGTCATTAGCATTCACTAGCCATAACTATAGAACCATAGAACAGCTAAGTCCTTAGAAAAATGTCTACTGTTAATATGATGATTCTCAGCTACAACACTGTACTGAGCTCCTACCGATTAGAACTGCTTAAATGTACTTTATATAATTATATTGTTTCTCTGTCTTTCTGGCTGTAATCCCAATGAAATCCAAAATAAAAAATCCAAGAATATTCAATTCTCTCTAATTTCCATAAACTTGTACTCAAAATATCTTGTCTCCAAAACTGTGACAATCTTCATCGTGGAAACCCATCTACCCATAAACTGAAAGAATTGTATGTTGTGATGTCTGTCACCTGTATTAATGTGGTAAACAAATAACACGTGTTTCTCCATCACAAAACATCATTGTCAACAAATGGAAAGCAGCAATGCAAGGGACACCAGCTGTACACCAGTCATACACCAGTTAGAAGGCAACAACCAAATGTTTATAGCCGAAGCACTAAAACCAAAGTTAGGCTACAGAAATCAAAGTTGAGCTGCGCATGGACAAAATCATCCCATATTAACAGTCTCTTACCTCTTCCTCATTCTCTTCCTCATACTGAAACAGAAATTCAAATACATTAAGATACACTTCTGTCCATAATAATTGGGACAGAGGGCCCAATCAATTAATATTACCCATAAGGGGAGAATAATTGTGTGGAATAACATTTGAACATGTTCATTATAGATATTCTCAATGTTGATCAGTCATTGTTGAGAAACATATGACATCATCCATACTTAATGACATCATAATTTAATTACAATGGGGCCAAGCACATCTAGCATGTTCTGGGAACGTTAGGGGGTAGAAAGAGAGGAAATATTTATTTAGCCATTGTTCAAAGCAAACAAACAAAATTCTCTCAAAGGAGGTGCCAAATAATTTAAACACATTTTCTTAGATGACAACCAATATTTTGTGTGTATTTAAAATATTTTTGTGTGTTGAACCTCAGGAAAAATAATTTCTTTTCAGTATTCTTGGGAACTAAATATTTTCTTTTCTCAGCATGAACACAATATGTACCACTATTAAACACTAGTGTCAAACATAATCAAAGCAATATATTTTCAAACCTCATCATTTTCTAAAGCTTCCCCAGTAAAATACAACACAGCTCTGGGTACTATCCTCTCCCGAATAAAATGTCCAATTTCAAAATCTGCCGCTAATAAGGCCTCCAAGTCTTCATCCTGAAATAAAAGGGTAAAAGTGAATTCATGGCACTTTTACATAAATCACATAAATGAGATACTTCTGGCAATGAGCAGGTTCGTTCAGAGACCAGTTGAAATAAAGAAATGACATGAGTTCTTCTTGCATAATTTATAAAATTGTTAGTGTCAATTTTTTCAGAGAAATATTTGAAACATGGAAACTGTGACATTCTGCAATTTTTCTCTCTAAATTCTAAGTGATCTAACATAACATCATAACATTTGTCCCAATCTCATAGAATGGAACAAATAAACAAGATTGTTGGAACAGAAACATGTTCATAAGCACATTTTGCTCCATGGAAATGAGAGAGAGAGAGTTGGGTATAATGCCGATTCAAACAGTATTTCAATTACCGTATTCGACGTAATGAGCGCCCCGCTCTAATAAGCGCCCACGGCGATATTTGCTAATATATTGGCAAATGAACAATCCCAGTTAGCACTCCTTCCGCTTGATCAATGTACGCAAGACTTATTTATTCGTGTATAATACGCACTCATGTGTTATATGCACCCTAATTATGGGCAATTAAATTCTGGAAAAATATATCTGTCGTATATAAACAGTCAGGCCGTCAGCATGAACCACGAAATTTATCTTTCAACTCTGATTTTTCCACCAAAATAATATTCTAATAAGAGCCCCCTATTTCCAATTTTGAGAGCGCCCTATTACGTCGAATACGGTATATCACAAGTCCACTTCATGTGGGAGGAAAGCCCAAAGTGATGCAGGTTTCAGAAGTCTACCACTTCGGTGAAACCCACCAGCATGGGTATGGTGCTGCCAAACTTTGAAACAAGAGTCGGTGCGAACCAGGATTTGAATGCACAAAAATAAGTTTCTGGCATGCCCAAGGGGTGCAATTCCGCACAGTGAATTGCAGCTCCTTAGACGACTGGGCCACCCGTGCCCCACCCAAGGAAATGAGACATGCTTAATGTTTGTATCCAGTAGGGCTGCAACGAATACACTATACGATTCGTATCACGGAAATGGGTAATGAATACGAATATTAATTCACGAATACAATAACAAGTCAGCAGTTTATGTATTATTTGTCATATTCAGTGAAACAAAAACAACATAAATTATTTGACATCGTTTGTTAATTATTAATATATCATACATTTATATACTGCTCTTATCCAGGTACTAGTATCAGCTCAAATGTGACAATGATCAGTGACCGCAATACTGTTAAATTAAATATCATAAGAGTGTTGTTTTGGAAGAAATCTATGCATATATCATTTTTAGGTACAGGGTATGTAAATGCACTTGATTGCATATTCATAAATATTCGATTCTTGTGGCCATGAATAATGAATTCAATTCCTAAATGGATACGGTTCGATTCACTGAATACGCAAGTGAATCGTATCAGTCCTAGTATCCAGCCATGAACTTACCATGTCAGCTTCTTCACCCTCAGGTACTGGAAATCAAAAACAGAGGTTACTTGTAGGATAGTGGCAGCCAGTGAATATTGTTTAACATCACAGTTGGCAATATCAGGGACTTATCTAGGTCTTTAAACTAATTGACTTGTCAGATGTATCAGACAAATTGAGAAAGTATTGTTATTTCGTAGTTCTTAATGTCCCATGGTCAATGCAAATGGATTCTTCCAGTGCATGTAGAATACCCACTATCCCAAAATGTAGTATTGATGATGTTTAATAATTGAGTTTGACAGTATAGTAAACTACGGTTATAACAAACTCAAAGGGACCACTATTTTAAGTTTGTTATGACTAGTTCGATACAAGCATTTCAAGTGTTGTACAGTCGTGCCTCGTTTATACGGACACTTGCGTCATTTCACAATTCGTCCGTAGAAACGAATTTCCGTATAACTGAAACCAGCTTCTTACTGGAAGAGTTACTTCCCTTCAATTATGCAACTCATGACAGATGACAGAGCAAACAGAGCAAACAGAGCAAACAGAGCAAACAGAAACATCCACTCAATCTTTATTTAAGACATACACGTTTCAAAAAAATCTGTCATGGAAGTTTGAACTTTACCACATTTTGAGGTTTGAATTTTAAACAATAATTCCAAATTTCCCTTTTTCGCATGCTGTAACTGCGTGTCGCTGGTTGACAGGCTATACTCACAGTTTGAAGTCACAACTTTGACCTCTGACCTCCACAGACGCCATATTTATCGAATGGGATTACATGTACAATAAACAAGCTCGTCTCAAACGTAACTCAGTGTCACTTGGTTAATTGACTCACGAATCAAAGGATTACCACCAGCGGAAGTGTATTGTCTGGGTAAGTGAGACAATTTTGTGTGCATTTCAGTGTTTCGTTTATGAAAATGACCATCGGGTTCCGGAAAGTGAATATACGGGTAAATTTATATAGTAATTATTTCGTTTTGAATGAAAATCGGTTTCCGGATAACTGAAGTCCGTATAAGCGGGGCATGACTGTATATACCTCAAATGGCCGGGACAAAAGAAACAGTTTATTATAAGCATGTTCATTATGATATAAACACAGTTTAGTGTAGTTCCAATAGTCCGTACCTGATGGCGGGTTGAAGAAGTTGAAGAAGGAATCATTCTGTACAGTTTTGGTGACTGTGCGAGTTGTGCCTCTACCCTTGTGTTTCTGCTTCTTCTTCACCACTTTCACGGTCACATTCTTGCCTTTGTTCCAGGTGATGTTGCAACTGAAACAGAATTCTCTCCATTAAACAGATTTTAATCTCTCCCTAGACATTATCAGACATGGAAATAAACACCTCAAAAATAATTCCAGTAACTTCAGTGTTTTTGTTTTTTTCTCAATTTGTGCATTGTTCTCACATTTATTTTTCTATTTTGAGGGAATTCACAGGCAAATTTAGTTACACAATCTCACAAATTCAGCAACATAATATGGCAAAAACTCTCATATTCAGTTAATATATAACTCAAAAGAAAGTTAATGAACATCCAATTTTTCATATGACTACATTTGTTGTTCAACACATGTAACACCGCACACTTGAAAAATTCAAGCTATATGATGGCGGTCTGTAAATAATCGAGTCAGGACCAGACAATCCAGTGATTGACATCATGAGCATCCATCTATGCACTTGGGATTCCATGATATGCATCAACCATATAGCTGCCTGGCCATCCGATCCCTTTAGTCGCCTTTTACGGCAAGCATGGGTTGCTGAAGATCAATTCTAACCCGGATCTTCACAGGTTGGAGTCATAATGTTTAAAAACAGAAGCAGCCGACTAGGGATGGGTATTGGTGGTTTAAAGTCTATCACACTATTTTGCAATGCACCAGGCTGTATTGCGATACATATCACAATAAATTGTACAATTCTAAATTTTGAATTCAGAAGCAATCTTAGTATAATCTAAATATTTTTTACATTTGTATACTTATCCTGCATTACTACGCATTAAGGAGTAATGCGGGATAAGTAAAAAATTGATACATTAATACCAACTGAAGTTCATAATTGGATCAAGCCAAGATGCTGGTACAACATAATGTTTACTCACTCAAAAAAAATGCAGCCAAAATGTTTACTCATTGAATAAATATGCAGCCATCGTGGGGTCCGGGATGCTCGCTCCTGGCCAGTGAAGGCATTTGGCAAGTATACATTATACGCATGACAAAAATCCCAATTTGAAATCACCTGATATAATCGAACATGAAAAAATGATATTGCAATATGTATCGTGGACAGAATGAACCTCAATTTACCGACACACTGGTAATATCTCACATCCTTACAGCATACTCACAGCAAGTATGGGTTGCTGAAGACCTATTCTACCCCAGATCTTCACGGGTCTAGTTGCCATTTGAGGTGAGGTGAGGTGAGGTAAAATGGGGTTTAACGTCGCGTCAAAGATTATTGCACTTATATAGCGACGTGCATGCACGTGTATGTATGAAGGCATTTAGCAAGTATATATTATACACCTGACAAAAATACCAATTTGAAATCACCTGATATATCAAACATGAAAAAATGATATTGTGATATGTATCGTGGACAGAATGAAGCTCAATTTACCGATACAACAGTAATATCTCACACCCTTACAGCATACTCACCCCTGGCATTTGATTATCTCTGGGCCTTCATACGCAAGTGGGTCTTGCGCATCTGGCTCGAACCTCATTGTGTACTGCTTTGTTAGCACTGTCTCTGTGAAATACTCATTTGCTTCAAAGTAAAATTCCAAAGTAAATCCCTGCAACAGAAGAGAAAAATAATTAGAAATCGTGAATTTTGTGAATTTATCCATACATATACTTCACATGTTTTACAAATCCAAGGAATCTGTGTTTCCAAATAATCAAGCCTGGACCAGATAATCAAGTGATATTGCGAACAATGATATATGTTGTCCTGGTATGTTGACATGCCATAAGCCCAGTCACCGAACACGACCACCTCACTAATTAAGTCGCCGCTTTTGACCAGCATAGGCAGCTCAGTGCCAATTCTAACACATATTCCCCACAGATATCCAACTTGGTTGCCATTTGAGTTTGGTTGTTGTTGCTTAACGCCACACTCAGCAACATAACACCTATATGACGGCGGTCTGTAGATAAACGCGTCTGGACCAGACAATCCGGTGATTGACATCATGAACATCGATCCTAACAATTGGGATACAATGTCATGCATCAACCAAGTTAGCGAGCCTGACCACCTGATCCCGTTCACCTAAGCATAGTGGATAAGCATAGTCGCCTTTTACAGCAAGTATGGGTTGCTGAAGACCTATTCTACCCCCGATCTTCACGGGTCTATTTGAGACCAAGGTAGATACTTAAATTGTATTCAAGGTACTTTATCTAGGGGAGTGTGGGGACAATTTTGGGCCACCTGTTTGTGTACTGTGTTAAGCTTCAGACAGCATTATTCCAGCTATTTCACAGAAGGGTATCAAATGATCCAATCCTGGCCAGGACCCAGTGTTTGGTAGCATGCTCAACATCCCCATGCAATTTAGGAATAATGATGCCCTACCAGAAAAATGACAGCCAAAGCCCCTGATCTCCCATCATATAATTGTCTCCTGCAACAACATAGCTGCCAACTTTCCCAAAGTACAATTCATATTTTGTTACTATCTTCTGGTCAGGACACATAACTTCTGTGCTACATTCAGATGTGAATGTTTGTTGCCGTTTTGTTGACAGTGATTCAGAAACTCAGTTGATAATCTTATCACTTAGTTCTTGTTTTGACTACAGCAACTTCCGATAGTACGAGTGGAGTGTCTGAACTGGACAGATGCAACACCCTAAAAAGACTTGATACAGTTGACAAGCAAGACTTAAGAATTTCCCTCTCTTTACCGGCATCTACCATGTGATTTATTTTTCATAGGTTGGCATATTATTCGAATAAATTATTTTTGTACCCTTCATTTCATACTGATGGTTTAATAAAAGAAGAAACTGATTCCCTCTTTTGTCTTCGAGTCACAGACCAGTGGTGTTTGTATCCAACCTTGTCTTATCAAGCAATATAAAAATGCCAGGTCACAACTGCATGGGAGTGGCCAAATTCTATCACAAACTTGCTTCCACGCACCAGTAACATGTGATTAAATCCATAAGAAATTCTGACACGCTGAATGTAATTAGCCTCAATGGATCTCCCACAATACCTCAGAGGGTTTATATGCAAAGATCAATACCTGGCCCCGCCACCTGTTACATTCTATTTCACTGTCGACACTTGCAACTAACCTGCTCTTAATGAATAATAACCATCTGTTATTGCCCCCTAATAATGCTGACTTAACAGCAACTCCCGGCATCAATAGTGACGACAGTGTGTTGGCGTCTGTTGCCATTTGTCAGCGCTATCTTTAGCCCTTTCAAAGAAGTTAGCTTGGCCTGCGACATCAGGAAATTTAAAACACCCCTCCTTGACTCATTGGAGGTGAAACGATACAGTGAGGTCGTCATACGATATGTATTGCTATATTTAGGGTGCGACACAATTCATATCGTGATCCGGTACCCTTATTTCATACGTTGATATTCTTTCTTTTGGAAGGTGAATCAAGACTTATGACATGACAAACACTTCCCAACTCTTTAACATTTTATTACAAAGATATTCAAGTGCTTCTAGTAAATAGGACTAGCATCATTGGATTTATACTTGTCCTCAGCATAATTTAGTTGTCTCAGGCTAGCAGACTAGCGTGAAATACAAAGGCTGTCTGCTGTTTCACTGCTATATGTGGCAGTGAACTGTTTTGTATTTTGTGGTATGCAGTTTACCAGCATCAGAGTCAGTGAGAAACAAGGAGAGCTGGTACAAAGGCACACACAAAGTGGGAAATTGCATAAATTGTTCACAATCAGCTGGAACAGTCACAGCTGCTACAGTCCATTTGGCTCCAAATGAGAGTCTGTTAAACGTCAATACCGAACACAGCAATGAATATCCTGTATTCATTCCCATCGCTGATAAAAGATGTTAAGAAAATATGTTGGCATGTGTACAAGTTGACATCTTGAATGGAGGGGAGCACTTTTTACTAGGGCTGGGACGATACACCAACTGTGAGATCCGATACTTATCACTATACCTTGCTCACGATCCACTAGTATCACGATACTTGCATGTGTTCTTATCTGTGATGCGAAAACCATCTTTTTCATGGACAAGATGGACAAATACCTGGCACACTTACGATTTACAGTTGGCAGTGTCAAGGACGGCACAATGGATTAAAATATTTACATTTTCACTACACATTTTCACTACACATTTTCACTAGTAATTAGTGTTTGGTGTAACATTCATTACATCTTCCTGAGGCAAGAGAGTAAACTGACTTTAAAAGTCCAGTTTCCAACCTTGCCGAACTAGGCTGGTATTATGGAGTTACATTTTGACTGGACTAACGAGTCAATACATAGTCCAATGAAATTGCGCAACAAAATCGTAATCTGGTTCGTAAATTGTCATGCAGATTTCGGTCAATAGCAGGATTATTAAAGAATGTGCACCACCAACTCGTTGTCAACAGGTATTTTCTAAAAATTTTCATGTCTTTAATCAAGGTGCCCACGTGATTTGATGTACTTCGCGATGTAAGACTCGTTTTATCACAATAAAGATTTCAATTATTGATAAGATCGTTTTGACTGGGCGCCGCCATTTTATTTGAAACAAATGCATTTATTCATGAATACATTTAAGGTAAGAATCAATACTTTTCACTTAGTGTGCCATTGTCATCAATACACGTATCGAGAAGTAAAAATTTGTGATCCATCGATGTATCATCCCACTACTCTTTACAGTGATGGGAATAAAAATAATAAACAGCAGATATTGTTGGGTACAGGGTACCATATTGACATTTAATAGACTATTCCCGATTCTGAATTATTTTGAAATTGATCGTTTTCATTAACTATTTATCGCTGTGTATAAGGCGAGTTTTTCGTACCTAAAATGAGGGGGTTAAGAAGGGGGGTTGTCTTATACACGAAGTCGAAGATCTCACATTTTTTTCCACTGGCGATGTCAACCGGCGTCCGATAGCCAGCCCAGCATTTGACAATAAAACTTCGCATTTCGTCCTAAATAACTGTTCCAATAACTATTTCCATACATAAACATGATTTGTATCTCTTTTCCTTGAATAAAGTTTAATAATTTCTGCAAATAAAGTTGAAATGACCCTCGCCTCGATGCAGATTGTCAAACCACCTGACACGGTAAAACAATCAACATCCGTGAGAAGAGAGCCGGAAGTACCGGTAAGCATTTGCATATTGCACATGTGACCTAACATGTGATAACCGGTGAAGCTGAAATCAATTCCCGCTGTTTTTACAGCTGTATTAACAAGTTTTGGAGACGGTGTGTACAAGTGATTGTGGACTAAACACGCTGAATGTGAAGCAAACATAAGCCTAGTTAGTTACAACATAGTTAATTGGCGATTAAATTACTCACCATTGTCTCTTATATGTTATTACTTCATAAATGAATTTTATTTTATGGGCACCAATTTGGTGTCGTACCATGTAAACACAAAATGGCGACAAGTGCTGGAGTTACACACGCGACCTATCATTGTAGAAAAAAACAACGCAAGATAAACATATTTTTATTGCATATATAAGGTTTGTGTCCGCACTTGTGATGTGCTTCATTCCAGGTCGCCTTATACACAGAGTATAGGATTTTGGGTTGATTTTGAAGGCGTGTACAAGGGGGTCGTCTTATACGTGGGGTCGCCTTATACACAGCGATATACAGTACCTCTTTGTCACCAACACACAGTACTCACCATAGGTTCTGATTCAGAGAATTTGACTTTTATATCTTGAAGGTGTTGTAGTATAGGTTCATCCTGATCCTGGAAAGAAAGAGTTATCATGTACAATCATTTAATGCCTGTAGACCAAGCCTCGGAAACTGACAAAGTTTTACAAAAAGCTGAACCTTTTCATGACGCGCCCAAAGAATTTCAAGGGACTATTTTGAGGAAGTTCATGGCAGAAAAATCACTGATGCCAATTATCTTTGTGTAGAAGTCATCATAAAATCACTGTGAAATTTCATCAAGATAAAATTAGCAGTGATATTTAAAAGCTACGGATCCAATTCTACAATACACATACCTGGACCATTTCTGATAACATATCTACATTCTTGAAAACTGTTAACCAAAAGTGAGGGACTCCCTTGGCATCACCTGGAAACAGGAAACATTGAAATAAACAACCATTATGTTGATACATACACCTAAGTCAGCAATATTCAATCAAAGCTGTCAGTACAACATCGGTTTGGACCAATGTCAGTGGCTGACGGCATGAGCAAAGGGCCCTGCAACAAGGGCATTATTCAACACCATCAGCAACATCACACTTGTGGACGTCGGCCTTTTTCAGTGAGTATCAGTGACTGTGGACCTTAATCTTCTGTCAATGGATTCTTTCAATGGATCCAAATGGAACGCTGTCCAACTTAACTGTCATATTTCAACCGAACTCTTAAATTGATTCATGATGAAATTGTAAACGAACTCCAAGGGACTGGTAACGTGTTACTTGAAAAACCATGTCCGTTATTCTAGATTCCCCAACAATTCACAAACATATCAATCATGGTCAAGCAAACCAATGAAGTCACTGAGCATGACCAACCGATTCATTCAGATGGGGAAGCTTGGGACTTGTTCTAACCCGGACTCCCCATGTAGTTTGGTTTGGTTTGTTTGTTGTTTTACGACGCACTCAGCAATATTCTAACTATATGACGGTGGTCTGTAAATAATCGAGTCTTGACCAGACAATCCAGTGATTAATATCATGAGCATCAATCCATGAAATTGGGATCAATGACATGCTTCAACCAAGTCAGAGAGCCTGACCACTCAATCCCGTTTGTTGCCTCTTATGACAAGCAAAGTCGCCTTTTACGGCAAGCATGGGTTGCTGAAGACCTATTCTGACCTGACTCCCCTTGTAGTTTAGTATGTAAAGCTATATATCAACGATGTACTCACTCTCCTCTTCCTTCTTGTCTTCCTCCTTCTTCTCGTCTTCAACCTTGGCCTTATTCTTCATATCCTCCTTGCCGGAAAGAGAGGATTAAAATGTCAGACAACTGTTACTAACATGCAACAAAGTACAGGTTAATGTTGGAGATTTTACACAATGAACTAGATTACATCTTATTGAAGTGAGTGAACTTTATTAGGTGAGTGAGTATGGTTTTACGCCGCTTTTAGCAATATTCCAGCAATATCACGGCAGGGACACCAGAAATTCGCTTCACACATTGTACCCATGTTGGGAATCGAACCGGGGTCTTCGGTGTGGCGAGAGAGCGCTTTAACCACTAGGTTACCTGACCGCCCCCTGAACTGTCTTAAAACTACACTCACACAACGATGACTTGGTGAGTGAGTTTGTGATTTGATTATTCAGTCAGCAATATTCCAGCATTATATACTACTCAAAAGAAGTTAGAGAACACGTGATTCCTTCATATGATTATAGTTCATCTGTCAAGGCATGAATTGGGTGTTCTTTAATTTCTTTGAGTAATATAATACGGTCCTCTAAATAATCTTGGTCAGCAAACCAGGGGTTGAGTGTATGAGCATCGTTCCAATCTCAAGGGGCACGAGGACATACATAGGTCACCCACTATCAACTCATAAGTCAGGTCAAACAAGCATTGGGACATGGGACCTATCCTGCCTCAGGTTCCCAAGGGTATTGTTTCACTCCTTAATACTTACAGCCAGTTCCTCGTCATCCTTCTCATCCTCACTGGGCCAATCACTCTCTTCATCTGTGGGCTCTGTTATCCCATTTAAAATGTCTTTTCTCTGCAAACAAAGATCAAGCGATTGAGTTACGTTTTACACTACTTTGAACAGTATTTTAGACCGGTCAATTATTATTGTGGGGTTTCAAGTGGAATCAGGAGACTGGAGGATTATCAAATTATATATAAATATATGAAATCTAATTGGGAGAGTACAAAATACAATACACAATCTTTGGGGCAGGCCATGAAAAAAATGTACACTGACATGTGGAGGATCATCAATAAATATGACATCGATAAATATGCATTAGGTGAGTCATTATTTCAGTACATTAGTGGATCAAAATCCTCTGGCCACCCCTGCTGCATTATAAACTGGCACTAGTCCTGCAATCCTCGCCAAACTGCCCAATAGTTATGGTATCCAAAGGAGTAGTAGAAATTTTACATCGTAAGGACAAGTGAACTAAAGCTGTTAGTTTCTAACAAAGTGATCTTAGCGCTAAGTCGATCGTAACTCCCATTCTTTAACACTGACTTACGACAATCGTAGCTCTAAGATCGCTTTGTGGAAAGGGGCCCAGTCCCTTATATCAGTTATTATCTCCATTATGGTCTAAACAAAAGCCCAACTACATCTATTTCGGTCAACACAACAATATCTCAGGCTAAAGATTCTGTTTATAGTCAGACTGTTGGTGACAGTGAAGCATGTATGATATATTATACTAAAAGTAGAATGATCACAGCAATAGCAACATACCTTGTCAAATAGTGACACATATTTGGATGCGTATTTACACTCAAGAGAATGTACTTCCTTGTAGAACTCCGATTCCAGCTTGACTACATCAAACTGTAGTTTCTTTAGTGCCTTCAGACGCCGCTTCACCACTTTCGGCAAACTGAAACATATTCATCAAAGTGACATACTGCATTACAATAGCCATAAACATGATTTATCAGAAACTATTTGCCCGGACAACTTGATCATACACTCTTTCCAGATCTTTAGTCAGTTATTAAGAGCATAGGAAACTGAAAACATTGTCATGGCTACATGTCATGAATATTAAACATGTTGTCATTCCAAATCAAACCACACCCCTGGCTAAAATCCTTTTGGATTCTGATGGGCATTTGTATTTACAATGAACAGTAACTGTAAGAAAATACAAGAACTGTCATTTATCATCCCAAACTGGCTCCCACAGGAGATATGGCTTTTTCTGAGATCAAGCAATATCTACAATGTAGATATCGCTGCAATGAAATTGCATCACAATACTTTGCAGACCATTGTGACGTCATTGGTTACAATCAAATGACATCACTAATGGCTCTGAAACTGTTAGCAGTACTTTTTACACTAAAGACACTGCTTATAACTGTCTACAAACTGAAAAAGTTGGAAGAATGATGTTTGATGATAAAGAAAATTTCACCCTCCTGTCTTTTGATATCAAATATATCAACACTCGGCAAGCCTCGGAGTTTTTCCACTTTTATCAACTCGGTATGATATATTTGATATCAAAAGACACGAGGGTGAGATTCTCTATATACCGGTCACAAGTACACTCGAGTAGCTGCAAAGCAGAAAAGCCAATAGCGATATATTTATCTTTCAATGATACACAATACTGATTCTCATAATATGTCAGTTGTATATTTAAATAGACTCACATATCAGATTATCCCTATCAAAGCTTGAGTAGTATAATACCAACAGGAAATTCATCCTTCATATGTCAATTGTCCTGACTTGATCTCTAACCTGAAATGATGACAATGAAATGCCTCCCCCTAATTTCTATTGTGATGACAGGGTATTTCTTGTAAGCTACACATATCAGTGCTCGGTTTAAGGAGCTTGATTTAACCTGCAGCAGGTGCATGTTGATATGAAAAGCTAGTTGCACCAGACTAAACCAAACTTTGCACTGCACATCTCCTCATGGTATGAAAACTCAACTCCCAATTGAAAAAGAATCCATCAAGTAGTTTTCAAATCATAGGTCTCACAAATGGAAAAACATATATTCAGTTAAACACGGAATTTATTTTTAAATTCTAAAAATACACATATCAAAATCAAATAATTTGTGCTGCACCTGTCAAATTAGTAAAATAAAGTGTTTGGAAAGAAAGAAATTCATGTGGTACTTCTCAAGTGTTAGGTGCAACAAACGTTGAAGTAAAAAACAAATTTCTAAGTTCACTAATACGGTAATACCTATTCGTTTTTTTTGTTTTTATTGTTTACGTAATTGGAAAATTATCTTAAAAAGAAGTATAAATAGTATCTGTCATCACCCATTTCCCAATACAGCGGCTTTCCGCTCAGTATCATGAAGAAATACCTCCGTTTTTGAAGCATCATATGAATAACACGGTCATCGTAGACCATCATATGACACATTGCTGGAAAGCTTGTTTTTTCATCTTCACGGTCGTAACATCGGTTTCTGATGACGCTTTCTTGCCGAAATCAGCTACAAGGTTCGTGATAGGTAAAATTTGAGCACGTGACCTAAGGATGCCAATTACAGCTATGGTACCGTCGTGTATGATGAATTTCATATTTTGACGAAATATTGTTGTTAAATCGTGTTATTCTGAACGGTTTAAGCAGGAAATCGCGATCTATATTAAAAATATGGAGCTTCGTGGATGTATCGTGCTAGGTTACTAGCTGTGACAAAGATTTTTCACGCATATATTTTGGCATTAAACATTGTGTCCGAGCCGAGAAATTGAGGCAACGAAAACCGAGATGTCATTATACTTACATTACATGCGATCGCACGAAAAGATGGAAATTATAGCTAAGATGTAAGTTTGACAACTTTTTATATATATTTTTGTTGATTTTATTTATTACTTTATATATTATTTAAAGATTTGCTTGAAACGTCTTTTTTTTGCTCTTTGACATGTTTGATGTGGACCCGTTGTTGAAGTGTGTCCGAGAATTATATTTTCAAAAACATTGTGGGAAATAGTGAATATTTTTTTAATCTATCAATAAAAAATGATAAATTGAAATGGAATACATATTTCAGACATTGTGAAATGTGATAGATTTAATAAATGAATGATATGACAGGTAGGTTCATAAAATTATATACTATTTTGACGTGACTGTGGCTTGGCCTGTCTTCTTGGACGGTGTACCGGCCTATGGTGTTGAAAGAGTTAAATGAAAAAAATTTACCGTATTCGACGTAATAAGCGCCCAGGGCGCTCTCAAAATTTGAATTAGGGGGGCTCTTATTAGAATCATATTTTGGAGTGTTGAAAGATTGTAAATTTTGTGGTTTATGTTGACAGCCTGAAATGGTACAAAATAAAAGTCTGTGTGTATTATACACGACAGATATATTTATCCAGAATTTAATTGCCCATAATTAAGGGTGCATATAACACACAAGTGCGTATTATACATGAATAAATAAGTCTTGTGTACATTGATCAATCGGAAGGAGTGCTAATTGGGATTGTTCACTAGCCAATATATTAGTAAATATCGCCGTGGGCGCATATTAGAGCGGGGGGCTTATTACGTCGAATACGGTAAGTCAAAAACAGATGAATTGCTGTATTTATTCAGAAAATCAAAATAATGAAACAAAACCTTGCTCTGCACCTCTCCTTTTGGTGTATATAGAAAGTGTTCACGAAGTTTGAAAAGAATCTATGAGTAGTTTTCAAATTACAGGTAGCACACCAAAAATATCCTTGGAAGGACAGATGGACAGACGGACAGAATTCCTTGGTAATACTAAATAGCCCTGCCCCTTTAGGTTCGTTTTCAAGTCATAAGTCACACAAAAATATGTCCTCAGAAGGATGGATGGAATTCCGTAGATTATCTTTTAAGGTCAGACGAATAAAAATACCATGAACAGTATCAGCTGTCAACACAAAGGGAAGTAAATTCAGTTTCTCACATTTTTCATTCACTAATCCTTTCATACTAATATTTCTACTATCCATAATTCCTACCTCAATCCCTCCCCTCAAGAGGTGGATACATAGATAAAGCATCAATGAGACCCTTACCCTCCAGGGTGGAGAGATTGAGTTCAACGTAACCAACAAACGTAATAAACTCCCTTAAAACTCTAAACAATACTTACTTCAACAACATTTCATCAATTTCATCCAATTTCTCATCCAAAGTACTCATTGTGGATCTGTGGGTGCTCATGCCTTTCCTACAACAGTTTCCCCCAAGAACTGATCCAACCTACCACGCTACACATACACAACGGGAATTATTGATTTTCTTGGTTCAATGGAGATTAAGTTCATAATAGAGTCAATCCATATTGCAATCAATAAGCGGCAACATCTGCATCACCATCAGTATAATTACAGTTGTATGTGCACCAAATTCATGTCGTAAAGAGGAAATTACAAAAGTAACTCGACAATACATCTAAAGAAAGTGACTAAACGTAGGAGACGACAACATAGAAGAAGTTTGAATTGGCTTTCACTCCTTTTATACTACTCACGTACAAGAAAACTTCAAGTGCTTACACTGTCCACTACATAACTGGCGAAGAGGAAGCCTTGAAAATATTCCCATCTGACTCTGGCTAAGGTATCTATTTCTTGATTCAATAGTCACATGGCAAAATTTGTGCTTTGTTTTTTTGGATGCATATGGGGTGAGTATAATGTTATCTAAATATGTGTAACTCATTACTTATTTTCATCCGATCAATATATATGACTGTATCAAGCTACCTCCTCCTGAACAGCTTGGTAGCCTATTGTCAAGGGGTCAATTCCCATAGCTCAGTGTTAGAATTCAACTGGGGCATCTCAGGCATGTTGGATGCATATGGGGTGAGTATAATGTTATCTAAATATGTGTAACTCATTACTTATTTTCATCCGATCAATATATATGACTATATCAAGCTACCTCCTCCTGAACAGCTTGGGTAGCCTATTGTCAAGGGGTCAATTCCCATAGCTCAGTGTTAGAATTCAACTGGGGCATCTCAGGCATGTTGTTTGTACATTTCCTTTGTTCTTAGTTGTTAATGAATTGTAAAACCATAGATAGACACAGGTACAAGGTATTCACAATGATTGCAAGCTTTTCATCCTGAGGGACACACAATAATATTCATTGTACCAAATTCTTGACAAGAATTAAAAAGTTCCTGTAATAAAGTAATTATTTAAGCTTACATAACAGTGCACTACATCATGTCAACATTTCACACGAACTTCATACTTTCTGTTAGTTTTGAAGGTCAAGGTAAAACTGTGACAGTATTTTGTCATTAAAAAACAAAAATGTAAATTCTTGAAAGGTGCTATACCTTCTGATCTATCCAATTTGAGAAATATTTCAAATCAAGCCAAACATTTTGACTTTTAGACATGACAGGCCAGACCAATTTAGTAACTTGTCTTACAGGTGTGTCTAGTCACTTCTTCCGTCATTTTAAAAAGACATACCGTATTCGACGTAATAAGCGCCCCACTCTAATAAGCGCCCATGGCGATATTTGCTAATATATTGGCTGGTGAATAATCCCAATTAGCACCCCTTCCGATTGATCAATGTACAAAAGACTTATTTATTCGCGTATAATACGCACTCGTGTGTTATATGCACCCTCAATTATGGGCAATTAAATTCTGGAAAAATATATCTGTCGTATATAAAAATTTCAGCATAAACCACGAAATTTATCTTTGAACTCTCTTTTTTCACCAAAATAATATTCTAATAAGAGCCCCCTATTTCTAATTTTGAGAGCGCCCTGGGCGCTTATTACGTTGAATACGGTAATCACATTTCCTGAAGTGAAGGATAGCATCCTCCTCTTCCCACCCCAACCAGAAACAAATCCACAAGAACAAGAAATGATACCAGGCACTATGCAGTAATAAAATGATCACAGATTATTATTCCCAAAAGCGATTAATATTATTTTGCCCACTGCAATCTTCAATTATTTGGGGGATACAAATCTGAGAAAAACATAAATTTGTTCTTGACTAAGAAGAAGTTCCTTTCAGAGTTAAAAATTGGCACTAGTCCTATAGTCCTTGACAAACTACCCAACAGTTAATTTTGTCATGAGGACTAGTAGAAATTTGCCATTTTCAAGGGTTTTGCTATGTTATCAATATCCTTTATCATGTATACTCCCCAGGTATCTGAGAATGAAAATCACTGATCCATTGACTGGGGTAATAATGTAAGCGCCACGAGCACACGAGCTGGCATGGAGTTTGGCGCCATACAAATGGACTCATTATTATTATTATTATTATTATGAGGACTAGCGGACTAAAATGTTAGTTTCTACCGCTGCATTTGGTGAACATGTTGAAGTGTGCCTTGTACTTGTACATGAAAGAATGTGCTGCTCACCTCTGTATGTAGCCTGATGGGGTGCCAACAATACTGCCCAGCTTGTCCTGGATGGCTGCTAGCACATGGGGGTTCTGCATCATGGTCGACAGGGCGTTTGCAGTCTGGGCATCATCTAGAATATCACAAGACCCTTAGATTTCCCTTACTAACAAGGTCTGTCATGACATGGGTAGACATAATTGGTCATATCCATCTAGTCTGAAGCTATTTCAAAGTAGACAACAAATTTATGGACAGCAACTTCTTTATTATACAGTGATAGTGACGTTTTGGTATAGATCCTTATAATATACAGTTGTCAAGCAAGACTGAATTATGAATGTGGTACAGGACTATATATCGTGGGTGAAGGATTAACAGTAATAACAATTATCATTCATCAGAGGGATTACCCGGTAACACAAGCAGGTTAGGCGACATTATTTTATTTCTTGGTTTACGGATTTCAAACTCATTTCAAAAGTGAGGTAGGGAAACAAAAAAAACAACTTTCAGATTTTTTAACTTGACTTTTGTCCTAAAAAGTTAGGTAGGTATATAAAAAAAAAATATTCTGGAGGAACAAAAGTAAAACAACTCAATTTTACAAGAACATTTTCAGGGATTATTTGTGACTCGAATTATGTTGCAATTAACGTCACTAGATTATATTGATATATCCTCCTATATTTACGAACATTAATTATTCCACTGCAACATCAGTACTGTTACAGGTTAATATCAGACTCCTTCCTTTCTCTGCTGACTAGCTTTAGGGTAACTAATAATGTAGTTCAAGGGAGGTAACCTACCGTCAGCCTGCTCGTCCCCCGACTCTACCTCCTCAACTTCCTCTTCCCCCTCAGCTGGTGTTTTACTGAAAACAGAAAATCATCAATCATGTCTTTCTCTGGACAACGCCAATCAGCAAACTTGACCACTTTCAGCCATCTTTAATTTCTTGTTTCACACTTTAGTTTGTGTTGTTTTTTTTGTTTTGTTTGGATATTTTTTTAATTTATTTTTTGTTTTGTGTTTTGTTGTTTGTTTAGTTTGCTTTTTTTGGGGGGTGGGGTTGGGGGTGGGGGGGGGGGTGGGGTTGGGGGTTGGAGGAGAAGAACTACGTAGATTGGATGGACTTTTTAAACACATTTCAGTTTGGGTATTTTTGGGTCAAGACGCACTCTGAATACACAGCCATGTATTCTATTGTATGCACAACCTTTTTGTGGGGGACATGTCTTTTCTTACACAAAGCTTACAAAGTCAAATCATGCTTTTCAGGTGCACTTTTTTCACCTTTCATTTTTTAATTAAGGGACAGTGGAATCAATAAACACTTATCGCTCACAAGAAAAAAGATTTTTAGCTTAATACAAATGCTTCCAATGCCAGATATTATGAAACTCATTTCTATGTAATAATGTTTGTCATAAACCATGCTGAAAACAAATAACCATATCATATTGCAGTGTTTGAGACAAGCATGAGAGTTGAGGGGCCTGGTCATAACACTCAAATGGAAAAGTAAACCTTTTTAAGGGTCCCTAGATTGGAATACCACGAAGAGTGTTAGAAATTAATCATTACTTTCATCAGTCCACATTTGTTTCAAGTCAATCCCCCACCCACCCACCCACACTTAGCTAGGTCTACCTCTCATCATGCCAATGTCACAAACTGTTAACAGGAGCTGTGCTCAATTGGTTAAAGCCAATCCAACAGAGACATAAGCCATGATGTATGATAATGTGTCAACTACTAACATGGTCCATGTTTGCAGTATCATGTTGCCCATCCTTCACACACCTGGACAATCAGATAACCAAAATATTTGAGAATTCACAATTCACCAGCTTTCTACCAGATGCAAAATACTACCCTACACCAATGAAAACTAAGAATAAACTAAGAATGTATGCATATAACATATAATATCCACTGCTCACAAAATAGTATGTTTGCTGGAGTGAAAATTGTAATATTGAAGCAAACAATAAATACGTTTTTCTGTAATGAGAAATACAATCAATGCTCGAACAGACCATGTCAGACATTTTTCACTCAATTATCAATTTAAACAAGGGACATTCCCATCTAAACTTCACATTAAAGCATCACACAGACTTTGTATTTATTTAATGTGTGTCCAGTAGTTAACCTGGGACCTCTATTTCAAAAACTGTGACCCCCAAAATGTAGTAACGACAATTCACCGGACCACAGAATATTGCTCATAACAAATCCCTGATTCACTATTCAGGTGTATCAACAAGAAAGAAATATAGCCATAGCACAAAATCAGATTTATATAAACAAACGAATAATGTAATAGAATCTTATATTTCATAATAACTACTGTACATGTGTTTAACATGTGTTTAAGAACAAACCACCTGTACATGGCTGATAATTTACAAGTCATCACTCCCTGGAAGAATGCTGATACCTGATAAAACAGGACATTTATTCATATGACCCAGAAAGGCTTCACCTGACATTTACAAAAAGCCAAAAATAAACCTTACCTGTTCACAAACACACAAAAAATAATGCCAATACAATACAAAAGTCGATCCTGAATAAGACTGAATTAAAATTCTCAAATATTTCAAGATAATTCTTATTCTCCAAAGCAGTCAATGACTCTGAATTTCAGATGATTTAATTTTCTTGGACTCTGATTGTCATCCAAAATGTCCAAGAGGTGTCCAATAGTATAATGTCAAATTTGGTAGAAATATAGAAGAATGTCCTTTCAAAAGTTGATACAATAATGACACTGCCCAAATGCCATTTGTCTTCAGCTAAATTCCTGTGCCTCAACTGTTTGTATTACTATGCAGCTCATACAAGCATAAAATTTGTATGCACATACAGTACTGCCAATCGACTGAACATTTACTGCCAACATCATGCTCCAAATAGCGACAAAATTAATGATGCTGCATAAGAAAAACAACTTGTTGCAAATAAATATACTACGCCCAAAAATGAGGGGATGTTGGGAATCATCAGAAATTATCTTCTGATCTATATGGTGTTGGCAAACGGAAACAAGAGTCATCAGAAGATGACGCATCCTCCCAGTCCCCATTTTTCAGCATTTTCAGATGTTTATCCTATGATAATATTCCCTCACAACTGTCAATATGAAATCAGAAATCACACAACCTAATCAAAGAAATTTTATTTTATTTCAAACAGTTTATTTCAAAGTCTTCATGAAGATATTTAAAGGTTTTCAAGTTCTTCTCTCACACTAAGACCATTTCAGACCCTAATGGAAAATATTCCTAAAAATTTCAAAATGAAGGCACCACTTCAGGACATCATTAATAAACATGATATGTTTTGTTAAAGAATATTTTAAGATTATTGAGCTCTGCTCTAAAACAACATCCACCCATCTCGAGACCAAGTCCAACTGTCTTCATGGAAACGGAGAAAATAAAAACGCCTAAAATACCAAAATAGCAAAAGGAACCACTTCAAGATCTGTTTGATATATCTGCCAAGTTTTGCTGAGAGATTTTGAACGGTTTTTGAGTTGTGCTCCGGAAACAAAATCAGAGACTTAAGTCCAAATTGATTCCATGGATACAGATAAAAATAGAAATGCAAAAAAATCCTTAAATAGAAAAAAGCACCACTTTAGGTTTGATATTGTGATATCTGCCTTGTGGAAAGATAACAGTTTTCAGTCTGTGCTCCAGAAACAAATTCACATCCCCAATCCTTTGGAGACTACTAAGTCAAGTGTTTCCATAGAAATCGAGAAAAATAAAATGCAAAAAATCTGCAGATGGCTAAAGGCACCACTGAATCCGTCTGCTTGGCTCAAGAATCCACCCTCCCTTCACTGAGATTAAACAGTAAAAGTTTGCTGAAGCTTCACCCAGTATCACCGGATGCAACCTTATTCAGAGGTGTCCTCAGAATTCACCCAGAGAAGTATCATAACAGATTAAAAGGATATTTTAATGAGACTAATTATTAAGTATTTGGCAAGCCCCTAATTGCCGTTTTGCATTTGAACGTCCCCCATATCCCAATTTGCAAAAACAGTGGTGAGCTGCATGTTCATGTCGTCCACCAAGCAAGGGAAGAAGTGCATGTAACATACTTGCAGGCCTCTGAATAATGAGTATTTGGTAGCATTGACTTTCAATCACATCAAACACAATATCCATTTGAAAAATAGAGCAGTACAGTAGAAATTGGCGCTAATCCTGTAGTCCTTGCTAAACTGCCCAATAGTTTAGGTATCATAAGGACTAGTAGAAATTTGCCATTTTTAAGGGTTTTGCTATATGTTATCATATTAAGGACTAGTGGACTGAAACTGTTGTTTATACCGCTGTTGCAAGCAAGTTACTAACATAAGTTTAAAATAATGTTCCACAATTTACTAGCTGACTGCACTTGCCTGTCAGCTTTACAAAACACTCATTCCATACATTGATGTTCCCACATAACTTACCTGTGTTAAAACTGTGCATAAAAAACTGTGTTATTGTTAGCTCCATACATCAATAATACCAAGGTAAATCTATAAAACTACAATTAAGTGATCCTATTTGGAAGTACTGCAATATGTTGAGAAAGCAATTTTCCTATTAATTTAGAGAGAATAATCAATAATAATATATATTATCCTTAATAACATGTAGATAATAATAAGATAAGCTTACCATATTTACTGTATAAAGCACCCCACTCCAATCACCCCCTGATTAATTCTAGACAAACCATGTACTTAATTACAGTCTCTGCATGTTACGGATTATTTTACATGTGTGTTTGTTGTTTAACGCAGCACTCTGCAACATTCCAGCTTTGTGATGGCGTCTGTGGACACAATCAAGTCTGGACCAGACAATATAGTGATTGATATTGTACGCAATGATCCACAACTTCGGGGAACAACAAAGAACAATCAACCAAGTCACAGAATCCTACCATTGATCTGTTACAATTTATGAGCAGCATAGGTTGTTAGGGACCTATTCAAACATGGAATCCCCACAGAGAATCCACAGCAGCGTAGAAGGATTACATAAAATTGCCACGTAAGTTGCGTAACTATTATCAAAGAGTTTTTGTTTTCTTAATGTTTGAACCGACTTTGTTCTCTACCACTCAATCTGACAACATAATTAACATGTGTAATACATCATATACAAGCACCCCCAATCAAAAATGTTCTAAGCCCCAAAGGCTCTTCCTACTGCATATACAGTATTACTATTAGAGCTGGCTAAAAGGATCGATAATCGGAATTACCATCGATGGGAAGGAATATTAACGATTATCAATATGAAAACTGTGTCATCAATAATATCCAACATAAACTATTGTGATGAAATAAAGTATAAATTTGATGAAATAGACTTGTCATTGTCAATCATGTCAATTGCCGAAGATGGAAAGCAATTGTTTTTGTTATATCTTACATGTCCAAAAAGTACTACATGCATGAATGTGTAACCACTCACATGTCCGATTTCTTTCAGACTTTATTGCATACTAGTTACTTTGATTCAGCTACAATTCGTGAATGTATACCAGGCGATACACCAGTTATACTCCTACGTCTTGAAGAGTGAAATTGAGTATCGCAATATGTACCACATAATGACTTACCGTATTTGACGTAATAAGCGCCCCGCTCTAATAAGCGCCCATGGCGATATTTACAAATATATTGGCTAGTGAACAATCCCAATTAGCACCCCTTCCGATTGATCAATGTACGCAAGACATATTATTCTTGTATAATACGTATGTTATATGCACCCTTAATTATGGGTACAAATTAAATTCTGGAAAAATATATCTGTCATATATAAACATTTCAGGCTGTCAGCATAAACAACGAAATGTAAGATCTTTCAACTCTGTTGTTTTTCACCAAAATAATATTCTAATAAGAGCCCCCCATTTCTAATTTTGAGAGCGCCCTGGGCGCTTATTATGTCAAATACGGTATGTATCACCTAGAACTTCTTCACTGGATTGAAGGAAAAGTTGCATAGTTTAGTGGCATGCTAGGACCACTATGGACAAGGATGGTACCTTACAGGATCACAGTCTTATAGGCGTGACTAAAACATATTTCAGAGCACATTCAAAAGTCAAAGCTACCTGCAGACATGTATGGTTTTATGCCGCTTTTAGCAATATTCCAGCAATATCATGGCGGGGGAAACCAGAAATGGGTTTCACACATTGTACCATGTCGTGAATCGAACCTGGGTCTTCGGCGTGACAAGCAAACGCTTTAACCACTAGGCTACCTGACCGCCCCTCATCACATGGAAACTCACGATGCATCGGTGCACCAATATATTGTTTCACCCCTTCAGATTATGCCAACGTCCGAATATTCCAGCAATATCACAGTGGGACTGTAAATAATGAAGTCTGGACAAGGCAAAAAGTATACATATACTGGTCAATGGATTATGAACATACCTTTCTGGTTCAGCCATTGTTGGTAAAATTTGGAGTCTGGAAATAAAAAGAATACAAATGATTATTTCATCACAATACTTGTCATAGTTTTTTGTCCGTGGGGTTTCTGTTAAATAACAGTCATTTATTGTCATACATACAACACATGAAATAATAATTTCTCAGGTTTGCATGTTTGTTGATTAACACCACACTCAATAACATCCCAGCTATGTGACAGCAATTTGCAAATAATAGTCTGGACCAGACACACCAGTGATTGACATCATGAGCATCGAGCTACACAAATGAGATACAATGACATGTATCAACCAAGACAGCAAGTCTGACCATCCGATCATGTTTGTCACCTCAAACAACGAGCATGGGTTGCTGAAGATCAGCTCTACCTTGGATCTTCATAGGAGCCAGATGGCGAACAAGCTAGTTGTACAATCTGCAGTATGCAATCTGACAGAATATAATGAGATGAGCTCACTTTTGTTTCATCAGCTTCGAACAGAAACTGAAATCCACTTATACTTAGTAATAAATATAATATAAACAAAAACGTTATTCATTACATGATCTCAAAACCACTGATAACAACAAACGATCATACAATTGTCTCCTTTGCTAATTGTAGATCATTATGGAGTAAATGTTAATTTGTTGATCTCTTGATTCCAAGTATTACTGCATCTTGTGCAAGACCCTAAGTCATCAAATTACCATATACTAGACTAAAGAAAAACATTTTTGAGTGGTTGTTAATTATTTCATTATCACATCAACCCTGTATCTGATTCACACAGATAAATCTGATATGTAGACCCCTCTGCAAAAAGATATACTCAAATCGGATTTCTATTTATAGAAACACGTGGGACCGTTGCATCTCCCGAGATCCGTGCTGTACGAACACTCGAGGTAACCAGAATATCTCAGAGACTTCTTCAATTCTAACAGAACATGTGGGACGTAATAAGTTCTAGTCAGTGAGTGACGACGTACGCCACTCCAACATGCCTCTCGTCTGTCTCACTCCCGACAACGTGCCTACCGCAGTGGCATCGAGATGGATACTACGGACGCGAAATAGCGAAGCTGAATGCGAAATCGCCGATCGTATCAACCTGACAGTTACTATAGCTTAATTAGAATGCACACAAACGACATATCCTGATTGTACTATTTAGAAAACGCATTTTATTGCGACCTTCAGCGTTAGCACCGACCAAAATGGCTGCAAATGAAAGCGCACATTTTTTTTACCTCGAGACAAATTTTGATCGCAGAAGAAATTACAGGTCAAAACGAAATTAATATGTACAGATGTGACGGAGCTGTTACACTTTTGTTAATAATTTGTCATTGATCCAAATATTACACCGCATAACCGTAATATATTACAATAATGTTTACTTACACTTCTCGGTGCAGAGCACGAGGAAAATATGGTGGAAAAAGATCGACAGCGGATGAGAGAGCAAATTTCATTGGTTAGCTCTATTTGGATCTTAACAATGGACCAATCATGGATTGGTTTACTGATGATGGAAAATGTCTTGGCGGGTAATGCTCTCACTCGCGATTGGGTCACTTCAGCACTGTAATCATTCCAACTCACTGTGTCATCATATCAACATTTATGTAACATTATACAATCAAGCGGTTCATCAAAGCAAATGGCTTTGAAAAATAGGATGTAAACACAATAGTCTCGACACCCGGACAATACCCATGCAGTTACCGAAAGCGAGACGTAATTTTGCAGCGTTTAATCAAATCAAGATCAAGACATGTTTGCGATAACTATTTTAAATTAGAACCTGTGTTCTTCAGATTAGATTTTGAGAGCATAATCAAAACTTGTTTCCAAACCATTAAACACATTTTTTAGATCTAGAGAAACAAATAATCACCAACAAATACATATGGTTGTTGGACTTATGCATACCCTTCATAAAAAAATGTTGTCTGTAGCCTACTACAGTACTTGAAAGTATTTCCTAGTTGAACTACTTACCGTATTCCATATAATAAGCGCCCATGGCGCTCTGAAAATTAGAAATAGGGGGCTTTTATTAGAATATTATTTTGATGACAAAAAAAAGGAGTTGAAAGATCGTAAATTTCATGGTTTATACTCACAGCCTGAAATGTTTATATACGACAGATATAGTTTTCAAGAAGTTAATGGCCCATAATTAAGGGTGCATATAACACACATATTATACACGAATAAATAAGTCTTGTGTACATTGATCAATCGGAAGGGGTGCTAATTGGGATTGTCCACTAGCCAATATACAATATTAGCAAATATCACCGAGGGCGCTTATTATATTTACTGACTACACACCCATCAACCATTGCTTAGGTGGGGGTGACCTATACCCAATAACGTGAAGATACACAATCCGGTTTTTACTCCGAGTGAAATTTTGTAACTTTGGCTCTTCAAATGCTATTTCTGTATTTGTTACTGCAGCTAGGGTTCGACAGATATAAAATAGTTTGATAAAAATCTTTCACAAACTGATCCCCGTATCAACATATGTTTAAAAAAGTATGTTTCACCTACTTATATTTAGGCACTGGTATTTAATTTGCGACTGCTTACAGCGGAGCAAACGACTACCGTTGTCGGTGTGAGACAACATGCTGACGGGGCTGATGCTCGGTTTTATTGCAATCAATACTCAGTTTTGTTGCTATTAAACTAACATAGGGCATGTTTCACAATATAGAATGTTCAGATGTTACTGCTGTACCGACATCGAGGATAGGTGAGGTGAGGTGAAATGGGGTTTAACGTCGCGTCCAAGATTATTGCACTTATATAGCGACGTGCATGTGCGTGTGTGTGTGTTTGTGTGGCTGCTTGTACTAGTCCGGACTGATGCCGATTTATAGTGATAGCTCACTGAGATACCATGTTTAACATGAATACCCCACTCAGACACAGTATACTGACTCCGAGCCGACCAGTCCTTGTTTTAGCCCCTTAATGCCGAGCGCCAGACAGGGTAACAACAAGTGCCATCTTTTAACGTCTTTTTGTATGACGCGGTCGGGGATCGAACCCCGGACCTTCCGCTCTCCTGGCGGACGCTCTACCACAAGACCACGGAGGCGGTCCACAGCGAGGATAACTTTAGACATATCATCAGTCACTTAAATTGATCCTGTACCAGGCTAGTGAACCCTTGAGTGAGTGAGTGAGTGAACATTGTTTTACGCCGCCTTTGCCTATATTCCAGCAATATCATGGCGGGGGACACCAGACATGGGCTTCACACATACATTGTAACCATGTCGGGAATCGAACCCGGGTCTTTGGCGTGACGAGCGAACGCATTAACCACTAGGCTACCCGACCACCCCTAGTGAACCATTAAAGTATGGACAATGAGAACTGGGTTCAGACAGACAGTTTATTCAGTATATTAGGCACCAAGGCCCATAGTACAATGCAGATTGCATATTCACATTTGTCACGTGACGTACATGATTAGATTTTAAATTATTTACACATTTCTCGATCATTATAAAGACATGATTTAAAAACACAGCAACAGCATGGATAATATCAGAATTTTCAGAGTTTAGCAGATTCATAACTTCCTGACGGTCTTCAAAAACCACCCTGGAACATAGGGAGACATTTATACCTTAAATGGGAATACTTTTCACGTATAAGTAAGACATTGTATTCATCCTCTACTTCACCGGATAAACAATTTGTACAAATAGAATTCACAATATCACCGTCTTTGGACCTGCGACATTCATTTCCATTAAACTTGTTTAAAGAAATTCTAGGCATACAATAAGCTCTGAGTAAAGTTTGTCATTTAAACAAGTTAAATATCTTTCAGTTTGTAACAACGATTTTATGTTGCTGTAATTGCTAAGACAAAATGACACAGAAACACTCTGATGTGACAAAATATATCTTTCACATAGTCTCTCCTTAAATGAATATAAAAATAACTGTGGAAATCCATACATATGAAACGCCACAAATAAATAACAGATTTCTCACATCTGACACCTAATTCTTTTAACCATTATCAAGTACCTTTAACATTGTGTAACAATGACATGGGTATCTTTGTTTGTTGTTTAACGCCGCACTGAGCAATATTCCAGCTATATGATGGCGGTCTGTAAATAATCGAGGCATCATGAGCATCGATCCACGCAATTGGGATACGATGACACGCATCAACCAAGTCTGACCACCCGATCCCATTAGTTGCCTCTTACGACAAGCATATATAGTCGCCTTTTACGGCAAGCTTGGATTGCTGAAGACCAATTCTACCCCGGATCTTCACGGATATGGGTATCTACTAGGCATCATTAGGTAACTTAATCCAATATTTAATCAACCTTAATTGGCTCACTGTATATAATATATTTGTACGGCCTGTTTCACCAATGATTGCCTTGTTTGAGAACTTGATTCGAACACTAGTAAAACTGGTAATAGAACTAATGCATAACCGCGTGGAAACATATCTGTAACAGACGACAACCACTTGTTCATGACTCAAGGTGACTAATCTCATTAAAATCAGACCTCAGTTCTCGCTACCGCTAAACAAAGCTCTGAGGACATCCCATTAGGGGTCACGTCAGAACGACCTTTCATCCGACCAATCAGAGCATCGCTTACCAGATTGTGAAAGTGACATGCAACCTCGAAAACTTTAACTCCGAACGCTAGTTACGGGTTTAACGACTGAATCCATACAATCTAGACCATCTATTAGCCATCCCAGAATGTTCTTTTGTTCAGGTTTCAAATTTGTAATCGAGAATTTGTCAAAATATGTTTCGAAGCGTAGTCGCCAATTTGAAATTAGTGCTGTAAAACACGAGAAAACTGCCTTCTGATTGGTTATTCCATTGGTCGGTCAAAGTTCGCGCAAGGTCGGTCTGACGTGACTCGTAATGGGATGTCCTCAGATCTTTGTTTAGCGGTAGCGCGAACTCAGATCTGATTTTAATGAGATTGCAAGGTGATCGAACGATCAAGAAAAGGCTGAACACTCCCCAAAAATATCCCAAATGAAGAAGGCATTGCCTGTGCCATGGAATACATGGACGTGTTTGTTTGTTGTTTAACGTCGCACTCAGCAATAGTCCAGCTACATGACGGCGGTCTGTAAATAATCTGGACTTGACAAACCAGTGATTCACATCCTGAGCATCGATCTACGCAATTGGGATCGATGACATGCATCAACCAAGTCAGTGAGTCTGACCAACCGATCCCGTTACTCGATCGCCTCTTATGACACGCATAGTCGCCTTTTACGACAAGCATGGGTTGCTGAAGACCTATTCTAACCCGGATCTTCACACGTGGCGGCACCTAAGACGACTGGGCCACCTTTACATTTAAATTGCAGAATACTTTATATATACTTGGCTATATCTGCTTCAATGTGACTGCTTATCTTGCACGACAACATCGAATACTCAGCAGAAGGAAACAGATCCACGATCGACTCGATCACCTGACGGTAGAACATGTCCATGACGATGGCTGAATGTCGTTCATGACTGCACCTGCCCATATACGAATGCGTTGTTCAGTTGTCAACATGGTGGGCAAACGCAAAGATTTGAGCTATCTGTGTTTTCACTGTTGCCCCTGTCAACATACCCCGATCATGCTTAGTCATGACTCGACGCCAGTGATCTGTAGCTGTTATCGAAGATGACCTGTTAATAAAACCATCAAGTGACTTTAAGAAAAAAATAATTTAAAAAAAATCTCTGTTATAGCACGCGCTCTCGGACTTTTTATGTTTAGTTGGAATATGCACCGAAACCCCGATAACCCGGACTCCACTGTCCTTTTAAAATGATCGACATTAACATTTTCCGGATTAATGATTCACAGTTTTGGAGTAATTACTCTTGGTAAGTATGCATGCAGACATCCCCTGTGATGAGAGAATTTAGATCACTACCAGACTCAAATGGAATTTACATTTGAAATCAAGTCTTCAACAAGTTTTTTTTATTTGTTGTTTAACGCCAGACTCAGCAATATTCCAGCTGACGGCGGTCTGTAAATAATCGAGTCTGGAGCAGACTGACATCCTGAGCATCGATCTACGCAATTGGGATACGATGACATGCATCATAATTTGATACCTGATTGTAATCCTGCTTTGACCAACCACAATTCTTCATTTTCATGGTAGACTAGACAACAGATTAAGGTCTGTAACGATACATTTGAAATAATGTCTGTCACGATAAATTTATATCGTTCAGTAACACCAAGCCAGAGGCGATCAAGGATGGTGACGTAAGTCACACTTGCCAGCAGCGGCCGTCGATCTGTGAGTTACGCTTCAATGTACCGTTTCTGAGCTAATGTGTACTACACTTCCTTCACAAGGCGACACGTGCTACAGCATGCTATACTATTTCTAGAAGTCACATCATTGGTTGTTGTTGGTTGTTTTGTTTTTTAACGCCGCACTCAGCAATATTCCAGCTATATGACGTCGGTCTGTAAATAATCGAGTCTGGACCAGACAATCCAGTGATTAATATCATGAGCATCGATCCACGCAATTGGGATCGATGACATGCATCAACCAAGTCAGCGAGCCCGACCACCCGATCCCGTTAGTCGCCTTCTACGACAAGCATAGTCGCCTTTTACGGCAAGCATGGGATGCTGAAGACCTATTCTATCCCGGATCTTTACGGGCCTCATCAACTTCCACTTGTAAACCTCACCGCTTACGATACTCATGATGTCAATCACTGGATTGTCTGGTTCAGACTCGATTATTTACAGACCGCCGACATGTAGCTGGAATATTGCTGAGTGCGGTGTTAAACAACAAACAAACAAACAAACAAACAAACAAAACAAAATCATTTGTTTGAATTTCGGTGTGTAATGGGGTTCCTTTAACTGTTTTGTTTGTGCCAAAATTATATTTGATAATCCTTCACTAAAGGGTGTATTAAGTGCACTATACTATTCAACTTGCAGCTTCCGAATAAGTACGTAAACTAAAAGTAAGAGCCACCCACCGTTACATTTAGCTGAACGGCCCTGTTAATGAATGTATAATAAATAAAGCCTAATAAAATCAATTTTGGACAACACAGGCAATAATAGAATAGAATAGAATATGTCTAGACATTATCTAGATTAGGTCACGAGTGCGAAACCATTCCAGACCATCTGACAGACAGCAGATGATGCCTAGACATAATGTATTTTTCTTAGCTCTGTTTGAGGCAATTCCTCTGAGGCGCCTCACACCCCCTTGGGTAGCGTAAAATGTACCTTTGCAGAATGAGAAGGCGCAGATAAAATTAAGGTTCTCTCATATTGTCATATGTGCATCTACTGTTGCATAAAGAAGTCCTGATGCTGTTGATGTTCGGTCAAAGAAAGTAATACGGCCATCGATATAACTGGTGCTGGCTAAAACGGCCCTAAATTTCACTGGCAAAAGTGGACTAAAATTGGTGAAAACGGATAAGATATAAATTGAGATTATGTATTTAACTACGTTTACTTACAAAATTAATAAAATACACAGATGATAACATCTAAAAATATGTTCCATATATATTAGAAACATTTACAAAAGGCGACTATGCTTGTCGTTAGAGGCGACTAACGGGATCAGGTGGTCAGGCTCCGTGGATCGATGCTCATGGTATCAGTCACTGGATTGTCTGGTCAAGACTCGATTTATTTACAGACCGCCGTCATATAGGTGGAATATTGCTGAATGTGGCGTAAAAAAACAAACCAACCAACATTATATTAATCTGTACATTGTATTCACAGCAAAACATTGTTCAGGAGGGCGAGTGACTGCGGTTTCACGCCGCTTTTAGCAATATTCCAGCACATGTTTCTGGGGAACACCAGAAATGGGCTTCACACATATTGTACCCAGAATTGGAATCGAACATTCAGGTTAACGAGAGAATGCTTTAACCACAAGGCTACCCTGTCGCCCCCTGACAGAAGATAGGACGCATAGTGTCAAGTCCTTCAAGGCACGGAATTTGCGGTTCAGATTACATGCTTCAGCACTAACCGGGTCGAGTCATACCTTTTGTTTTGGGACCGTCTTCGTGGTCTAGTGGTAGAGGGAACACGGGTGGCCCAGACGTCTAAGGCGCCGCGATTCGCTGTGCAGAGTTGTGTCCCTTTGGCACGCCAGAAACCTATGGTTGGTTCGAATCCCGGTTCGCCTCGATCATGTTTCTAGGTTTTTCAGCACCATACCCGTGCTCGTGGGTTTCAATGAAGTTGTAAACGTCTGAGATCTGCATCACTTCGGGCTTTCCTCCCACATTAAGCTGACACGCCGTTATATAACTGGAATACTGTTAAAAGCGGCGTTAAACCCAACTCCATTCACTCTAGTGGTAGAGCGTCCGCCAGGAGAGCGGAAGGTCCGGGGTTCAATCCCCGGCCGCGTCATACCAAAATACGTTGAAAAATGGTACTTGTTGTTACCCTGTCTGGCGCTCGGTATTAAGGGGACAAAACAAGGACTGGTCGGCTCGGAGTCAATATACTGTGTCTAAGTGTGGTATTCATGTCAAACTGCGGCATGGTATCTCAGTGAGCTGGCACTACAAATCGGCACCATCAGTCCGTAAAGCCGGTACATCCACACACACATACACGTGCATGCACGTCGCTATAAAAGTGCAATAATCTTCGACGCGACGTTAAACCCCATTTTACCTATTGTTTTGATATAACATATATTAATTCCTGAAATGCGGTCGACGTTCATTCAGGTTACCATATTCGAAGTTTTAATCTTTGATCATGGGAAATCTCAAGGTTTGTGTGTGTTCTCTTCCTCTGTTATTTTAAACAGAGGTTGCACGTTCATTTTGGTTGTAGATAGAGGAAGATATCATAACGTCAGCGATGATGGTATTTACCTATATTCTATGTTTTATGTCAAGTGGCGCTAAAAGTTTGAAATGCATGAAAATACGAACAAAATTAAATGGCCGTTTTTTCCATTACAGCACGGTACACGGTTTTGAAAAAATACTTAGTGGCATGCATGTATGTTTAAGTGATAGAGTTAAGTCCCTTTGATTACGATCCTTCACATGAATCCGTAAACTGGGCTCCTGTCTAGCTATATCAGTAAATCACTATAGCTAAGTATAGCTTAATCGCGCTAAGCTTGAGTCGCGAACCAATAGTGGAACCAGTGTAATGAATCCGGACCGTGAAAACATGTAAACACGATCACTGAACAAGGAAGAGGATGTCAGTGCTTCCAAAGTATCGACAGTTTCATCTTTTAGTTGCAGTATTCGGTTTATTGCATGGACGACTTGAAGGTATCCCATTTGCTTGGATTTCAGTTTGCTAAATGGTGTTTTTCCTTTTTGTCAGATTTGTTCACACCTCCGTACTTTTGTGATAGAATGTCCGCCCTGAGAGCGGGGCGTCCGGGTTCGATCCCCGGTCGCGTCATACCAAAAACGTTGAAAGATGGTACATGATCTTACCTTGTCTGGCACTCGGCATTAAGGGGCTAAATCACGGACTGGTCCGTCGCTACATAAGTGCAACAATCTTGAACGTGACTTTAAAACCCCATTTCACCTTACCTGATTTCTCAACAGTATCGTATTGATCAGAAGAAAACTGAGTGTCTTGGAACAACTGCTAATGAATCATGAAGCGGCACTGACTCACCCATGAAAAATAGTACAGAATGAAAAAGACTGAAACCTGACAGTGCAGTGGCTGGGAAACTTCCCAGCTGACACATAACATTTTCAAAATATTTTCAAAAGGTTTCATTGTAGTTTTTCAAAAATATTTTCGTCAAAACATTTTATTAACGTTTCAGAAATGTTTTACAACTAGAATCTATTCAAAATGATATTGGGGCGGTCGGGTAGCCTAGTGGTTAAAGCGTTCACTCGTCACGCCGAAGACCCGGGTTCAATTCCCGACATGGGTACAATGTGTGAAGATTTGTGTCCCCCGCCGTGATATTGTTGGAATATTGCTAAAAGCGGCATAAAACCATACTCACTCACTCACTCAAAATGTTATTGAAACGTTTTCAACACACTGCAGAAATGTTTTGCCAGAACATATTTAATGAAATGTTATCATCATGTTTTAAATACATTGTGTACACATATGTAAAATCATCCAAATAATCTGTAAATGTTTTATAATTATTCAAAATGTTATTGAAATGTTTTTAAAATGTTTTACAAGAACATCATGCCATTACATAGGCAAAACTATTTTATAACATATCATTACAATGTTTTCAACATGTTGCAGAAATGTTATGCCAGAAACTATTTCATAAAATGCTTTTGAAATGTTTTTAAAATGTTATTCAAGAACATCACTGTTTCATAACATGTTATTGCAATGTTTTCAACACATTGCAGAAATGTTATCGCCATGTATTAAAGTGAGTACCGATTACGACCCCAACAGCCTACAGTTGAACTCAAGTTCCCCAGCTAGAACACTCTGTTTTCATAATGCTGTGGATTGGTAAGGCAGTAATAGAACATTTTCACAACAGTTACAGTTTAATCTGTAGACTAAATCTCTAAAGAAAATATAGCAGATATGAGTAAGACAAAACTTCACATGATTTGTTTGTTGCTGATCACAGATAGTGTCACAGGATATTAAATTTAGTCGCGCATATTTTGCGGGGACGTGCGAGGGACCGTTGAGAAGTGAATATATACAGATCTATGGTAAAAGACGCATTATCTCACATTTAATTATTTTTCATGACTAGTTATTAAAATGTCTTACGTTTTTGAAAATTTATCACAAAAATAAATGTTTTTAACTTGTTCTTAAAATGTTTGTAAAAACTGATATCACACAAATGTTTCGAAAACAATTTTAAATGTTGTGACAATATTCTTTGTTGTCTCGTGAAATGACGTCGAAATGACGTCACACTATTACGTCATAATTTACACCCGCCATCATCAGTTCAACTTTACTCCACAACCAAGTGACATTGTGCAGCAAGAGCTGGATCGTCAAACTCTGATTTCTTAGGGGGTAAGTTCATTTTCAAAAGCAGTATCCGCTTATCTAAGCAGTATCTAAATGGCATTTTGTAAATGTAACATTTGTTACTTTTAACCACTTTCTAAATGGCATTGTGTTTTCATAGCTTTCGGCCATGGGAGCCGTGCCAATTTACACTTGTCAGAGGGGTACACAAAGTACGTGACCTAGGGGTGCTATGCAAAACGTGAATCGCTTGCAAACGATGTACAGTGATTTGCCTTACAGTGCGCTAACTTTCAGCCGCTTGCAAGCCAAACAATCGCTGGCAGAGATCGCTTCATTCTCAAACCAAAATGGCGGCTGACTTTGACACCGGAGCAAGAAATTCTTGACTGGATCAACGAGGAAATGAGCAAAGGTAGCTAACACCCCATCATCCTCAGTCTGCTCCACATCTTCAAAGTAGTCATAAATTTCATCAGCTCGTCATCGAGCCTCTTCTGTTGCCTTCTTCTATGTCAAGGCAACAATGCGGTAGATGCGCTGCCATTTTGGAAGAGTGCTCATGTGCTTTGAACTGTTGCCGCGATTAATTTTCTTTAAGCGATTCGTGGCTTGCATCGCACCCCTGGATTACCAGATGTCGGATTTTCATTTATGTGGAGGGGCGGTCGGGTAGCCTCGTGGTTAAAGCGTTCACTCATCACGACGAAGACCCGGGTTCGATTCCCAAAATGGGTACAATGTGTGAAGCCCATTTCTGGTGTCCCCCGCCGTGATATTGCTGGAATATTGCTAAAAGCGGCGTAAAACCATAACACTCCAACACTCATTTATGTGGAAGCCTCGGTGGCTGAGGGGGTTAGACAATTCCTGAAAGCCTAATAACTGCACCAGACACCAACCTACACAATACATAATGATCGAAGTGAAAACTTGCGCATATGCGGAAACTATATTCCCTTATGTACTTGAACAATCATCAAATTCATATCAGCAATGAGTGACTTTTACCCGTGTTGAATGCAGAGAGTGCATTAGCTACTTCTGTTGAATATTTCGAGGTTAATGGCTCAGCCTCTTTATATCGACTAGCCACATCCTCTACGGTTAAAGCGTATTTATACGTTTTGCGTCTTACCTTATCGTGGGGAAGAAATAAGAGGTCAGCCTGATGAACTTCATTCGTTGTAAAAATATCAAACTTCTTCCTCGGTATATAACGCGGTGCCGGTAAGTATATTTGCCACATAGATTGTTTCTTTAACCAACCCTTGGCCACATCTTTAGATACCTTAGCCGCGGTGGCTTATTTTTTTATTGCTCTATACCTTTCCAATATCCTCGTGGGCTATAGTAAATTGTTTTCATTATTAATTAATATTGATGTTTCTTTTAATTATTCTTATGACTATCACATCATCATGTTTGCATAAAAAATTCCCTCTGTAGTGGTGGTATAGGTATATAAATCTGGCTCCAGTGGGGTTGTGGTAGAACCCCTATTACCTATAAAAATTTATATCATAGAAGCATTGATTGACTCTTAGCGCTACGACTATTGTAAGCCTATGTTAAAGTATGGGAGTTACGATCATCTTAGCGCTAAGATCGCTTTGTGCAAGTGGGCCCAGGTGGTGGTGAGCTAGAGTCAATTTAACTTAATCTCATGACGATCGTTGAATCGCATCATCATTTACACATAAAAAATTCCATCCGTAGTAGCAGTATAGGTATATAAATCCGTCTCCAGTGGAGTTGAGGCAGAACCATCATTACCTATACTACTCAGAGTGTGTATTTATAGCGTATTCCAGGTCAACTTGTGGCATATCATATTGTGTAGAAATACAGAGGGACACTGTAGTACATAAGCTGGCTAATACAAAAAGGTGTTTCTCACGGCCTTGTAATTTTAATGTCACGGTCTGTTTGCTACCAAGTTCTTTTCAAACATGATCTGTCGTTGCAATCCATTGTTAGTAATAGTCGCATTATTAAATGTGGCATTGAAATGACGTTTACAATGCATAAAGGCCCTGGCGTAAACAACTATGAAAATACAGTAGTAGTAAAATGTTTATTAAAGTGTCACATGCACAACATGTACAATATAAATTTAAAATCGATGCACATAAGACAAAAGGTGTATGGATTAAATCCAGCCAGACATTGGCTTATGAGACACTATATACAATATAAACAAAATATATATTTTTTGTCTTACCAACTGCACCTATCACCCACACGTACAACAGTTAAAGATTGATGTGACGAGACTAAAGAAGAGAATACGATCATACAACGACCAGTTACTCATAATTAAATTCATTTCATCAATGACCTTCAGACCTTCAAACATTCACTAAAGACGTTTGCAAACAAACACTTTAGTTTTCATAGCCAATGTCAGCCTGTATGTGTATGGGCAGGCCCATGGGCGACATAGTTTAAATTTTGAGTTTTCGATACATTTTTTTCTTCCCTAGTATGTACCCATGAACAGCAATGTTGAAATTTGGAAATATCTTTGACCAAGACTGGCCACAGTAGGGAGCGTTTCTGGACAAATGGGTTTCCAGAATTAAAATAATGTTATGAACCTATATGATATATTTCATCTTTGGATTAATAATAATGCTTATTGAATATAGTTCAAGTTATAACTTTGTTATATTGTGGAACATTGTTGTTTTCGCTGTAGCCAGGGGCAAAAGGATACAACAGCATTCCAGGAAATACACACGGAACTGTTAGGTATATTGAGGAATACACCAAATACACCAGGGGCTATGAATGATGCAAACGTAAGTGCATGCGCAGAAACTGTTGTTAAATACCATGAGCTAATAGATCAAGTATCTTTTGATGTGTTATATATATATATATATTTATTTTTTTTTAAGTACCTGCTTTAGATTTTTTCAGAATTTGTTTTATGTTTCAGAAAGGTGGATCAAGGCAAAACCAAAGAAAGAAGATTCTGACAATCAATAATTTAGAAAGGTGTAAAGGTTTTCTAAAAATATTAAAACCTCCACAGAACTGAGTCTTGAAGTTCTTTGTTGTTGTTTCTTGTTTAATTATGTGTCTTCACGATACTTTAAGATTCTTGTGCCGAGAAAGTGCATGATGTACAAAGTGCTAACCTCAGAATTGTTTTTCTGTCATTAGAATTCAACAGAGATTTACATGAATACAAATTTGATAAACACAGGTATTTTTGTGGAATATGTGCTTCCCTTAAATCAGTATAAACAGTACAAACAAGCAGTATCTGAAGTTCATTCTCTATACAAGTTTGACAGAAAGGACACAATCTCATTGGCTTTGGTATAGAACTTGGTTGATGCATGTCATCGCATCCCAATTGCGTAGATCGATGCTCATGATTTCAATCACTGGATTGTCTGGTAAAGATTTGATTATTTCCAGACTGCCACGATATAGATGGAATATTGCTGAGTGCAGTGTTAAACAACAAACATACAAACTTGGTCCGTAGATTGAAACACAACAGGAAAAAGCTCAAGGATCCCTTCCTTTGAATGTTTCAGGAAAAGATGTCATCATAGAACCGGGGAATGCAACCGTTGTGTCCTTGCTAGGCCAGAATGAGACTGCTGTCACTGTGGGGGACATCCCCTCAAACTTTAGCGTTGTCCTCTTCCAAGCACACAGTCAATATGAGAATGTGTCAATTTCCTCAACACAAACCTTTGATGAGACTGTTACCATCATGGGCAGCCATCTTGGAATACTGACACTGTTGAAAGTTGGTGATACCAGTGCAACCATGTACTTGAAGTCTGATGTCAACACTTCTCTCAGTGTCCTGGTATCGGCTGACCTTCACACCCCTTCTGGTGAGCTTCTTGTGGTGATATAGATTATCATAACCCTTCTCATTACTTGTTTTAGGGACAGCTCATATATTGTGCGGGGGTTAGTGTGTGTAGGTTACACACAACCAAATGTTTTCCCAAAGACTTCTATAGTAACGTTATATTTTAAAAGAAATTTAACTAAGCATTCAACAGCTATTACCTGTACATGTGTGCAAAGTTTGGCCTTAGAGCAGCAATAAAAAAAAAAATTGACTAGCTTAGCCAGTTCCTTTTTAGAGTACAGGAAGCTAAACACACCACCCCCAGTTTCGCACCAAATATCACCTACTTGAAAATAGCTGTGGTCACATTCAGCATAAGTCATCATGTTGAAAAAGACAGTACTAAATAAAGAAAAACATGGTCAGTTTTAATAACTGGATGGATGTACATTTAAAAGACACAAAAATCTTACACAATATCCTCCAATCACAGCCTGCAGATATCTCTCGATCTGCACTGAAGGCTCCCTACGAAAACCGCACTGTCCCAACTGGTTCTGATTTGGTGTAGTAGAACCTGTAAGATTTTTTTGATACATTAATGTACTGACAAAAATGACCCTTCCCTAATGTTTGCCATATTTTTGGGTGACCCTCCTGGGTCTTTGTACAATTTATTTATGACCCTCCCCAACTATGTGTATGTTTTGTCGACCCTAGTCGTGAGACTCCTATTTTGGGGTTACCCTCCACTGAATGACAAAGGGATGGGACATTAAACAACATACACATACCTGAAATACCACTACCAGAATTTTTGATAAATGAAGAACAAAAAATTGTTGGAAATTTGTAAGCAGAAACATATATATAAGCTAAAGTACACATTTGTATAGTGACCTTCAGAGCCTTTCAAGGTCAGTTGTGGGGACATGAATATTTGACACCAAGCTTCTTTTCGTTTGTAACAACATTTCCAATCTCATTAAAATCAGATCTTATTTCTCGCTATCACTAAACAAAGATCTGTGGACATCTCATTACGGGTCACATCAGAATGACCTTTCATCCAACAAATCAGAGCGTTGCTTACCAGATCATGAAAGTGACAGTCGAAACGTGTTTTCTAATCATGCAACCACGATATATTTAACACGGGGTATTCCAAACGACAGTTACGGGTTTTATGATTATTTCCATACAATCAAGGCCATCTATAAGCCATTCCAAAATAATGTTCTTATGAGTTTTATTTTTTTCAATCGAGAATACGTCGAAATATGTTTTGAAGTGTAGTCGCCAGTTTAAAACTAGTGTCGTAAAGCTTGAGAAAGCTGCCCTCTGATTGGCCAATGTCAATTTCTTGTCAGTCATTTCATTGGTCGGTCAAATTTCGCGAAAGGTCGTTCTGACATGATCCATAATGGGATGTCCTCAGATCTTTGTTTAGCGGTAGCGAAGACTAAGATCTGATTTTAATGAGATTGCAACATTTCAGGACCACTTCTCCTTCTTTTTCATGAATGCTTTGTAAACATATGTGAGTTAATCAATCATTGTTTATTCCTCAAACTAGCAAAAGCTGGTCTTTTTTTTTTTTTTAAAAACATGTCTTGTCTGGAGCTCTGTCTTCATCTTCAGATCCACTGCCAGGCGGCTGCAATGAAATCTTCAAGCTTGAAAATGACCCCAACATTCACTTGAAGACCTTCAAGTACTCCACACAGTTCCAGTTCCAGTGGGCCAATCTGGGGTTTGTGAGGCAGGGTCAGGAAGACAGCTGTGAAGACCATCAGCAGCAGCTGTCCTATGACATTTACGTCTTCTTCCTGCCCGAGATGGACCAATCAGAAGACACATTTCTCGCCAATATTCGGAAGATGTTAAATGCCCGTGTCGTTATGGAGAATGGGATAAAGGTGAAGGTTTTTGCTGTAGTAGTTTATGCTCGTACTAGTGACAAAAACAAGGGACATTTAACTTTGGATATATAGATCAATTCTTTCATATAACTACAGTTGATCTGTCATGGCATGACAGTGAGTACCCGGGTAGGGTCGGGTGATAGGGTGTCGGATACCCGGGTAGTAACTTTGGACTCGTCCCAGCCCTATTGTTAATGTTCTCCCTAGCCCTATAAGTGACTGGGGGCGGTCGGGTAGCCTAGTGTTTAAATCATTTGTTCGTCACGCCGAAGACCCGAATTCGATTCCCGACATGGGTACAATGTGTGAAGCCCATATCTGGTGTCCCCCGTCGTGATATTGCTGGAATATTGCTAAAAGCGGCGTAAAACCATACTCGCTCACTCACTCATTCACTATAAGTGACTGATTCTAATGGTACCTGTATCTGATGGCTGGAGTCATTCAAGATCTAGATGTTGTTCCATCTAAATACACACGTTATTGTCTAAACATTGTCATGGTTATTGGGGAAATAAAAATAAATGGATGAGCTTTATATTCAAACTGTTTTGATTTTGATAGTTCTGTGTGGATAAAAGAAGTCAATATCAATACTATCATGCACCATCATCATTGTTCTCAAGTCTCGTTTTACCCTTGTGTCTCAATAAACAAGATAAGCAATGTCACCATGATGTCCCCATGATCTCAGCAGGCTGGCCATTATCTCCCTTCACAATGTCATACTAGGTTAACTAAACCTGCATCTCAGACACTAGGGCTGGGACGGGTAACTCGGGTACTCGGGTCGGGTGGGTACTGAGCAGGACCCGGGTACCCACAGGACTACCCGGACCCATGGTTAGTCATGGGATATATCGTTTAATGACAAAACTTATCTAAAACTCAACTACACACTACAAGTCACTAATGTTCCCATTTCTTTCTGACTATTCCTTCTGACTTTTATATGAAAAAAAGATAAAACTTCATGCAGTCAACTTCAGTGTATGCATGACCAGTTCGTTTTACACGTGTATTTAAAAACAATTTGCGAGGGCTACTGTCAAACTTTACCCAATCGGACAGTTTGTAGCTATCTCTTGAGACGTACAGCGGGTACCCGGCTCGGGTCGGGTAATAACGGGGTGGGTACCTGGGTAGTAAATTTGGACTTGTCCCAGCCCTACAAGATAAGCAAGTATTTTCTTTTCTTTTTCATTTTTTCTCTTCTATTCAGCTGATGACTATCACCAACACTGGGTCGACCAAGTCGGTGGGGTCAATGTCATCGGCAGTGGGCCAGGGACTTGTGTTGACCATTGTCGTCACGGATACCAAGGCTGGAACTTCAGCCATATATGTTCCTGCTCACACCTATTCCTGTCAGTTCCAAGATGGCTCGTGTTCCAGGAGTGGTAGGGGCTTTAAATTATTGTTCTCCAACAGTATATTCATTGTTGGCTCTACAAAAGATCATGGGCTTATGTCATTGAAAATATCCACACAACTGGGCACATAATCGGTTTCTGTTTTCGTTCTGGAATTATTATTCAAGGTCAGGCCACACTTTTTACTTGCTTTGCAGATTTTGTATAGGAAATACCTGTTGGTAGGTGAATAAAAGAAGCAATTCAGATTATTTGAAATTGAAATTTTTACTTGGAACAATATGATTGGCAAAGGGAATTAGAGTAATCTCCCTTCCCTCATACAATAATGTACAAGGGACGGTCGGGTAGCCTAGTGGTTAAAGGGTTCGCTCGTCACGCCAAAGACCTGTGTTCGATTCCAGACATGGGTACAATGTGTGAAGCCCATTTCTTGTGTCCCCCACAATGATATTGTTGGAGTATTGCTAAAAGTGGCGTAAAAACAAACTCAGTCAGTCAGTCAATAATGTATAATCTAGTTCATCATATCGGTAGATGTCAGGGCAGGGAGAGTCTGTGTAATGTTTATCGGATTGCTAGTTGCTAAACATATAGAACTGCTTGATGCAAAATTATTACCGTATTCAACATAATATGCGCCCCGCTCTAATAAGCGCCCACGGCGATATTTGTTAATATATTGACAAGTGAACAATCCCAATTAGCACCCCTTCCGATTGATCAATGTACACAAGACTTATTTATTCGTGTATAATACACACTCGTGTGTTGTATGCACCCTTAATTATGGGCAATTACATTCTGGAAAAATATATCTGTCGTGTATAATACGCACAGACTTTTCTTTTGTATCATTTCAGGCTGTCAGCATAGACCACGAAATTTATCTTTTACCAACATAATATTCTGATAAGAGCCCCTATTTCTAATTTTGAGAGATTTTGAGAGCGCACTGGGCATTTATTACGTTGAATACAGTAATAGTGGGGCCTTGTTCCGAAGTCATTCTTGGTGCAATATAGTATCAGCTTATCTGCAGGGTGAAAAAAAGGGAAATTATGAATTCTATTTTTTTCCCATTTTAACAAAATTTACTGTTGGTGGATCACTAAAGCAACTAAAAATATGGTGTGGCTTTATCATAAAATAAAATATATATGTATATATTTTAAGGTCACTGACTAGCATTGCGGCAACATCATAATTCAGTGCAATTATGCAAAATAAACCCTGCCCATTCTATTATCAGCCGGGGCGGTCGGGTAGCCTAGTGGTTAAAGCGTTCGCTCGTCACGCCGAAGACCCGGGTTCGATTCCCGACATGGGCACAATGCGTGAAGCCCATTTCTGGTGTCCCCCGCCGTGATATTGCTGGAATATTGCTAAAAGCGGCATAAAACCATACTCACTCACTCACTCACTCACTTTTATCAGCCAATCAGGAAACATTAGTCAGTTAATGGCATGTCCTAATTTTTAATTGCTCAAAGAATCGCTTAGTTAGCCTGTCAAATGCCACGGAATCACTTGCAATTTATTTATGACATAATACAAGCAGCAGTAATTGTGTGACAATGAGTACATGCAGATATATATACCTTGTCGTTACAGTTGATGCTGTTGATGTTGTAATAGCCATCGTCAGTGCAATCTGCGGATTATTTCTCTGTTTTCTTGGACATAGATACATAAAAACAGGTTGGTATGATGAATTTACAAATAGTTTTGATATGGATCTGTTGTCATCATAATAACATTTGTACAGAAAAGATGACAGCCAGATTGATAAACTTCAGCAGAACTTGAGGATTCAGTAGCCATTGGCAATAGGAAATATACTACTCAGCTTTTGATAGAGAAATGGCTCAAGGACTCCTGGAAATTGGTACTTACACAAATGAAATTAGGAATGTTCCATTGCAAAAGAGTGAAGGCCTCCGTTAGGGCTGGGCTGGGTAACTCGGGTACTTGGATCGGTGGGTACTGAGTAGGACCCGGGTACCCACAGGACTACCCAGACCTGTGGTTAGTCACGTGATTACATTGTTTAATGGCAAACATTATCCAGAACTCTATGGTTACACTATAAGTGATAAATGTTCACATTTATTTCTGACTTTGCACACATTCCTTCTGACTTTATATGTTTGCATAATGATAAAACATCAGTCAACTTCAGTGTATGCATGACCAGATCGGATTATACGTGTATCTAAATTTATCTAGACAGGAGTATGGTCAATCTATTCCTATTCAGGCATGTTTTACCTATCTCTTGAGACCTACAGCGGGTACCCGGGTAGGGTCGGGTAATAGGGGGTCGGGTACCCGGGTAGTAAATTTAGACTCGTCCAAGCCCTAGCCTCCGTGGTCTAGTGGTAGAGCATCCGCTCAGAGAATGGAACGTTGGGGGTTTGATCCCTGACTGCGTGATAACGTTAACAGATTGTACATGTTGTTAGCCTGCTAAAACCAGGACTGGTCGGCTCGAAGTCTGTATACTTTGTCTGAGTGGGGTATTCGTGTTAAACTGTGTCATGGTATCTCAGTGGGGTATGACAAAATCTCCAAACAGGGTGTCCCTTTCGGCTCATACCTGGAATGGCAGGAATATTTCTTATTAAAAGTTGAGTATCGTTTGTTTGGATATTTAATCATTGGTGTAATTTTTGTAAAACGTTTCTTTGTAGCAGCATGCTAATGTTCCTCAATCACACTATTGCTGGCTGTAAGAACACCTTGAGTGGATCAGGTGGTCCGACTCATTGATTTGTGTCGTGTGTGTCAACATACATGTTGCTCATGATATTAACCTCTAGTTTGTCAGACTTAAGTGATATAGCTGGAGTGGGTGAGTAAGTCGGTTTAACGCCGCTTAACAGTTTGTTTGTTTGTTTGTTGTTTAACGCCGCACTCAGCAATATTCCAGCTATATGACGGTGGTCCATAAATAATTGAGTCTGGACCAGACAATCCAGTGATTGATATCATGAGCATCGATCCACGCAATTGGGATCGATGACATGCATCAACCAAGTCAGGGAGCCTGACCACCCGATCTCGTTAGTTGCCTTTTACGACAAGCAAAGTCGCCTTTTACGGCAAGTATGGGTCGCTGAAGACCTATTCTACCCCGGATCTTCACGGGGCGGCTTTCAACAGTACTTCAGTTATATGACATGTGCCAGCTAATGTGGGATGAAAACAAGAAGTGATGAAGGTTTTAGACATAGAACTTTTCTAAAATTCATGTTTGGTACTGACAAACCCAGAAACATAATTGGGGTGAACTGGGATTCAAACCCAACATCATAGGTTTATGGTGTGCCCAGAGATGCAATTCTGCATTGTGAATTGCGGTGCCTTTGACGACTGGGCCACCCGTGCCTCGCATATTGCTGGACGTTTTCTGACTTGGATAAAACAAACAAACAAATGTGTTTTCTTTTTTCTCTTTCAGAATTTTTCCTATTTGGATTCTTGGCCTTTGCATTGATATCTTATGTCATGATCACAAGACTGTCAGAACTCAACTCCGAAGGTTTGTACAGAATATAGGCAGCACATAATGTGTGATGACATGGAACACAGATATTCACACTCAAGGGAGTGGTCCTTTACCACAGGGGATTTATTAAGGGTGAGGTGTTAGTTGGGGTGGGGTGGGGGGGGATGGGGTGGGGTGGGGTGGGGTGGAAAGATGTCTTGAAAAAGTGACACAGCGAAAAGGAGACGCCAAAATTTATCAAAACTTTATTGGTGGGGACATTTGACACAGTTTTATTTTTTTATAAAAAAAATAATTTTAAATATTATTTAGAGACTGGTCATTTTTTAGGGGGTGGGGAGGGGGTCATGAACATGCTACATGTATTTGGGGTGGATGGGGTGAAGGGGTTGGATGAAAAATGTTAATTGAAATGGGGGTCATAATAATGTTAACAAAATAGTATCCTAAGACCAATCCCACCAGCCCACTTCCTAGCCCACCCATATGATAAATGATAAATAATAAATAATAAATAATAAATGACCAGTCCTGAACAATTATAATTATTGAATAATGATTCACTGAATTTTCCGTGCATGTCGATGGTTACAATCATGTTGTTAATTTGTGATGTTGCTGCTGCTGCTGCTGATGATGGTGATGATTTGTATGTGAGGGTGCTAGGTGATTGTGTTGTTGCTGCTGCTGCTGATGATGATGGTGATGATTTGTATGTGAGGGTGCTAGGTGATTGTGTTGTTGTTGCAGCTGCTGTTGGTGCCAGTGTTGCCGTGGGTGTAGTGGGAGGGGCCATGTTCCTGGTGTTCTGGTACTACTGCGGCCTTCCTGTGGTGTCTGTTCTTCTTGTCGGCCTCACTGCCGGCTACCTCGTGTCCAGTCTCCTGTTCTTCACTCCGTTTGGTAAGCATGCCAATAAATTTTTTTGAGATAATGACCTGTGAGATATGAGTAATTACAGATTATCTGCCCAGAGTGAATTAATTTTGTAAGTTATAATTTTGTAGCTATTTATTTGATTGGCTACAAATTATTATTATTATTATTGTTGTTGTTATTGTTATTACTAATGTAAAAGTAAGTTTCCTGACTTTAAATTGGATTGAAATGTAGAAATGTTTAGAAACTCCAGCAGAAATCACTTCAATGAACATCGCAAAACTAGAGTGGGGGCTCACTAGTATTTGCGTATTTCCTTCTATGGAACAAGTTCCCGGACAATTTGAGAATCCAGATGGGGTTACTTCAGACCGTCTCCATGGTCTCGTGGTAGAGCATCCGCCAAGAGAGTGGAAGGTCCGGGGTTTGATCCCTGGCCGAGTCATTCTGAAAGACATGAAAAGAATGTACTTGTTGTTACCCTGCCTGGCACTCAGCATTCAGGGGATGACACAAGGACCGATCAACTCAGAGTCAGAATACTGTGTCTGAGTGGGATTTTCATGTTAAACTGTAGCATGGTACCTAAGTTGGTGAGCACTATAAAATCGGCTTCAATCCGTACTAGTACAAGCAGCCACACACACACACACGTGCATGCACGTCGCTATTTCAAGCTTCAATAATCTTGCAATAATCAAGTGCAATAATCTTGAACCCGACGTGAAACCCCATTCACCTCACCTCAGAGGAGTCCTGCTGCCATTTGCAAACAAACTAAACATAACACCCTCTTTCTGGAACTGTTTTGTTGGACTACACGTTGAGAACAGTGTTTTTTGAGGCTCAAGTTTCAGTTAGACTTTTGTCTGATTTCAGGCAACCTGTCCTACTGGCACACAACCGTGACCTATGGCTTGACCTTCACCTGTGGACTTCTCATCATGCCCGTGTTTCTGCTGTGCTTCACCAAAACTGTACGTATTGCTTGAGGAAATCTTTGTTTTACAGCGCCAATGGCCCTCTTAAATCATAAATACACTGGCTCACTTAGACATCATATTTCTTTTAGCAAAAGTATTACTTACCATAGACACCAAAATAAGCATCCTAGGCACTTAGAAAATTGACAGAGGGGCTCCTATTAAAACCGAACGAAGTGAATTGTGAAAATCATCATGCCAAGACTAATGAATAATGCAAGAAATAATTGCCGGACTTGAAGCTGGCGCAGCACCAATCTCATTAAAATCAGATCTTAGTTCTCGCTACCGCTAAACAAAGATCTCAGGACATCCAATTAGGGGTCACGTCAGAACGACCTTTCACCCAACATCAGAGCGTCGCTTACCAGTCATGAAAGTGACAGTCGGAATGTGATTTCTTATCATGCAACCCCGAAAACTTTTTACACAGGGTATTCCGAACAACAGTTACTAGGTTAACGACTGAATCCATACAATCTAGACCATATATTAGCCATTCCAGAATGTTCATTTGTTCAGGTTTCCAATTTTTAATCGAGAATTTGTCAAAATATGTTTCGAAGCGTATTCACCAATTTGAAATTAGTGCCGTAAAGCACGAGTAAGCTGCCTTCTGATTGGCTAATGTTGACTTCTCGTCAGTTATTCCATTGGTTGATCAAAGTTCGCGCAAGGTCGGTCTGACATGACCCATAATGGGATGTCCTCAGATCTTTGTTTAGCGGTAGCGAGAACTAAGATCTGATTTTAATGAGATTGGCGCAGCACAAGCATCAGGGGCATGGCATTTGAACATTGCCTGGAGGTCAATTCCTCAACTTTGGGCACAATTTTGACAACATTTCAGCAAGGAATAGGTACCCGATATGTGAGGTGGATGTAAAAGCCCTCTAGCACCCGTAGGCAGCTTGGGTTGTATACTCCCCAGGGAGTTGAGAATGATAACTGGAAGGCAAATGGATGCACTGGCCAGGGAACAAATAAAAACGCATTTGAGCAGATACTAGTACCTGTATACCTGCGGTATATAAAACGGTGGATGATATGACAATAACAACAACAAATATAGCTGCGGGCAGCGATGTCGGGCTCTATGATATCGAGAATTACTGAGTCATATGGTTTCAGCCTACTCGAATCCGCTTTATAATACAGTGCTTAAGAGTATTGTATAATGTAATTAATAATTTGATATTTCACTGACTTCTTCTTTGATAGGCATTTAGAAGTTGGAGTACTAAGTGAGGATAAGAATGTATGGATGAACAACTTCTTTATTACAATTAAGAGTGACGTTTCGGTTTAGGTTCTATCACAGTTATCAAGCAAGTGATATACAGAGTTTGGTTTTGCTGATATAGAGTGTGGTTGACAAGTATCTATACAAGTAGGAGGCAATGTTTATGCAGTAGAGTAGATATTGTTATACTGGAGTAGAGAAGCCTGTTATGTACACAAAAGGGTAGTGATGACAATCGTCGGTGAAGTCAGTGACAGAAACAAAGGATGAAGCCAGTAATATAAACAACGGGATTATGGCTGATTGGGGCCTTTGATGAGTTGATGGAACGCCGGGGGGTATGAAAATCAAAATCAAATATGGCCGCAACTAATAACTATCCCATCAAATATATCAATGTTTGATATGTTGTGTACGGAGACAAATCTCAGAAAGTTTGGTAGCATTTCATGTGGTGGATTCAGAGTCGTATGCTTTTGAAGACCTGTGTACCCAAAAGACACTGTGAAAACCCTGAATCCAAAATGGCTGCCAAACCACGTGGCCAATGGCCAAAGTTAAAGAACAAAAGATGTCAAGCACCTAAAGCAGCAGGCACATGTAGAGTGTGAAAGTAATCGGAGTAGCGGTTTCAGAGCAACGGGGCAAAATACATCTCATGCCATTAGTGAGTGAGTGAGTATGGTTTTACACCGCTTTTAGCAATATTCCAGCAATATCACGGCGGTGAACCTGAAATTGGTATCACACATTGTACCCATGTCAGGAATTGACAGGTTTTCGGCGTGACGAGCGAACGCTTTAACCACAAGGCTACCCGACCGCCCCTCATACCAATAAATCATTTAGTCCCAGTCAATTTGAATCCACTTTATAAATGCAGTGCACATGAGTATGTAATAGTGTAATTTATTACTTCATATGTCATCAGTCCGTTTTGACAAAATTGGCGGGAGCCAGAGCATTCTTGCATGATCTGAACCCATTCCAGTTCTTGTTCATATTTGAATCCTCAAATGGATTCTTTGTACCAGTGCCGTCAAATATAGACGCCGCTACTTAATTGACGTGTACAAGGGTTTCCCGAGGCATAGAGCCCTAATAATAAATCAAACAATTACAATAGGACAATATGATTACCATCATAATCTTGACGATCCCACTCTTCATACACACACGAAATTTGGTCGAAATCGGACCAGTAGTTTCCGAGTAACAAGTGTTCGAAGGTCTGCTAATCAGAGGTCTGCTGTACGGCAGCTTGTGGCAGGGTGACAGGCCGGGTGGCAGGCCGGGTGGCAGGGGGTCAACTAGTCCGGGAGCGTAGCTCCCATGTCCATTGAGCTAGTCAAACGGATGAGTGTTCTGACTTGGCCAGGACCCTGGGTTTCTGTCGCATTGCATAGATAAAGTACTGACACTGTTTCCGACCTCGTCCATGTTCGAATCCCCAATTGATTTGGTTGTACCGATGCCGTCTAAAGTAAGGAAACGCTTGTGAGACATCGCCTCTACGACATTGACGTGTCCCAGAACGTCCTGGGATGTCCTGAACCCATTCTACACGCCGTCCATGTTTGAATCTGCATATGGTTTGCATGTACCATCGCCTTCAAAAGTAAGGAAACGCTTGCGAGACATTGCCTCTACGACAGTGATGTGTCCCAGAACGTCCCGGGATGTTCTACACCAATTTCTGACGCCGTCCATGTTCGAAGACACTGTGAAAACCCTGAATCCAAAATGGCTGCCAAACCACGTGGCCAGTGGCCAAAGATAAAGAACAAAAGATGTCAAGCATCTAAAGCAGCAGGCACACGTAGAGTGTGAAAGTAATCGGAGTAACGGTTTCAGAGCAGCGGGACAAAATACATCTCACGCCACTAGTAAGTGAGTGAGTATGGTTTTACGCCGCTTTTAGCAATATTCCAGCAATATCACGGCGGGGGACACCAGAAATTGGTTTCACACATTGTACCCATGTCAGGAATCGAACCCGGGTTTTCGGTGTGACGACCACAAGGCTACCCGGCCGCCCCTCATACCAATAAATCATTTAGTTCCAGTCATTTGAATCCACTTTATAATGCAGTGCACATGAATATGTTATAGTGTAATTTATTACTTCATATGCCATCAGTCCGTTTTGACAAAATTGGCGGGAGCCAGAGCATTCTTGGGTGTTGAACCCATTCCAGTCCTTCTTCATATTCGAATCCTCAAATGGATTCTTTGTACCAATGCCGTCAAATAAGGACGCCGCTACTTAATTGACGTGTACAAGGGTGTCCCAGGGCATAGAGCCCTAATAATAAATCGAACAATTACAATAGGACAATATGAACACAATAATAATCTAGACGATCCCAATCTACATACACACACGAAATGTGGTCAAAATCGGACCAGTAGTTTCCGAGTTACAAGTGTTCAAAGGTCTGCTATTCAGAGGTCTGCTGTACGGCAGCTTGGGGCAGGGTGACAGGCAGGGTGGCAGGGGGTCAAATAGTCCGGAAGCATAGCTCCCTTGTCCATTGAGCTACAGTCAAACGAATTAGTGTTCTGACTTCGCCAGGACCCCGGGTTTCTGTCGCATTGCTTAGATAAAGTGCTGAATCTGTTTCCGGCCTCGTCCATGTTCGAATCCCCAATTGGTTTGGTTGTACCGACGCCGTCAAAAGTAAGGAAACGCTTGCAAGACATCGCCTCTACGATCCCACTCTACATACACACACAAAATTTGGTCAAAATCGGACCAGTAGTTTCCAAGTTACAAGTGTTTAAAGGTCTGCTATTCAGAGGTCTGTTGTACGGCAGCTTGTGGCATGGTGACAGGCCGGGTGGCAGGCCGGGTGGCAGGCAGGGTGGCAGGGGGTCAAATAGTCCGGAAGCATAGCTCCCTTGTCCATTGAGCTACAGTCAAACGAATTAGTGTTCTGACTTCGCCAGGACCCCGGGTTTCTGTCGCATTGCTTAGATAAAGTGCTGAATCTGTTTCCGGCCTCGTCCATGTTCGAATCCCCAATTGGTTTGGTTGTACCGACGCCGTCAAAAGTAAGGAAACGCTTGCAAGACATCGCCTCTACGATCCCACTCTACATACACACACAAAATTTGGTCAAAATCGGACCAGTAGTTTCCAAGTTACAAGTGTTTAAAGGTCTGCTATTCAGAGGTCTGTTGTACGGCAGCTTGTGGCATGGTGACAGGCAGGGTGACAGGCCGGGTGGCAGGCCGGGTGGCAGGGGGTCAAATAGTCCGGGAGCGTAGCTCCCTTGTCCATTGAGCTACAGTCAAACGGATTAGTGTTCTGACTTGGCCAGGACCCCGGGTTTCTGTCGCATTGCTTAGATAAGGTGCTGAACCTGTTTCCGACCTCGTCCATGTTCGAATCCCCAATTGGTTTGGTTGTACCGATGCCGTCCAAAGTAAGGAAACGCTTGCAAGACATAGCCTCTACGATATTGACGTGTCCCAGAACGTCCCGGGATGTTCTACACCCATTTCAGACGCCGTCCATGTTCGAATCCGCATATGGTTTGCTTGTACCAACGCCGTCACATGCAAGGAACCGCTTGCGAGACATTACCACATGTGTCCCAGTGAGTTTTTAACTCACGTTTGACTTTGACCATGTTCGAATCCTCAAATGGTTTGCTTGTAACAACGCCGTCAAATGTAAGGAACTGCTTGTGAGACATCACCACAACGAAATTGACATGTGCCTGGGTGTCCCATAGTGTTTTAACCA